CCATCTCCACTTATATACTACATAAAATCATAGATTGAAATATGAAAATCTAATCGAAAATTATATTTATACGATACGACATAGTTGACAAATATGTTTACTCTAGTCAATTATTTTTTCAACATTTTGACGTGATATTAATTTATATGAAAATTGCCTTGTAAAAATTTAATTTTTATATTATTATCTATGGCAATACTGTTTTTTCTGTTTTGCAGATGGTCCAGCTCGATTATTTTCAAATATTTTATCGTTTCTAACGTCATCACAAAACTGTTATCAAAATTACAACGACAACAAAATTTTAATAACACGAATGATATTAGACAATTGAAAATTCCATGAGAAAATCATCGTCGGTCTTCCAAAAAAAAAAAAAAAAAAAAAATGCTCCACTTCTAAAATAATCATGGCGAATTCTCTCATCAACTCACGAGCCCATTATAAATCCATAAAATTTCAAAACCTATCGCTGCTAAACGCAATCCAGGCGTAATCTTCCATAATGGCGACAATGCCAAAACAACAATAAATTTGTGACAAATATTCTGAAATACAAATGTCCCGTGCACTCCGGCGGCCCACTATACATACAATAAAACAAAAGTGCAGAACAAAAAGACTGACGGACTCTAGCAGTGAAACTCTAGCACTTCGCCTTACTTCCGGTCCTGCGAGTGCCACGCATCCGTGCGTGGGTGAAGCGCCGGTTACTTCACAGATCTTCTGGCATCTCATCGACGAAGGAAAAGAGGCAAAAATCTTTACTGCTTTTGCTTCTCCATCCCCACGCCTCTTGCATTCTTGGTTGCGCGTTGCGCTGGTGCACGATGCGGTCACTAATATAATAGCATAATCATCGTAATAATCGCGAGCGGTATCCGCTAGTAGAGCTTTGTGTTATTTTATGACACATCCGTCTATGGACGGATTGCATTTCCGCTTTCTGACACATGTGCGCGCTAACGTATGAGCGGGATAATTCAATGACAGGCCAATCAAGCGAACTCGAATTATCTTTTTGCTTTACCTCCCTCCCCCCCTCTCCCCCTTCCCCCTCCCATATCTTTGATCCCACTAGCGTTTCTTTCCTATTATTTTCATTGTCGTTGAGAGTTTACCTGTCGTTTTACCTGGTAACTGGTAATTGGTTATAGAGAAAACGTGTCGTAGGACAGGGAATGTTGTTGCGGAGTGACGACCGAGAAACTTTAAGAGTTTGATGATATTTTTTTTATCGTTCTGTTGGAGTGTACGTCGACAAAGTATGTGGTGAGCATTTCAGCATAAAAAATATCGAGACACGATAAGACAATAAGGAAAGGGAAACGAAAGAGAAACTTACCGTCGACTATTATTCGTATTAAAATGTATGTATACAGTTGGCTGTACAAAGTGCAATACTTAACAGCGTATAATGGAATAAAACTGAACAAACATTAGAACAAACAGGGAGATTAGAATTCTTGATCGAGGATAATGCCAGCAGAAGCGTTAATGAAGTAGGTGAAGCTACATGTAAAAGGGTACTCGTAGCAACGTTCCACGTTCTGTGGATGTATGCTCGTTGCGTCATTCGTACGATTTTTATAAGAGTGAGCATGTGTTATTTGAGAGAGAGAGAGAGAGAGAGAGAGAAAGCAACATTGTAATTTTGTAATTGAACATTCTATTTCGAGCTTATATTTAAATGTCGATGCTGCAATTGCATATATATATATATATATATATTTTTTTTTTCTTCTTCTAATGTTAATATCGAATAATCGAAGCTACAGACGAACGATAGCTAGGAATACGTAAAACACGATTGTTATTGGGATTCGAGTTGGAAGTAGTGGAAACGCTTAAAACGAATTTCAAAGCCTCTAACAAATGAACAGCCGCGTATTCTTATCTGAAGTATACAAACTTATCTTGAAAATTTAAAAAACCATTTTGGGTTATTTATTAGAGCGTCTGCTACATTTAAGGTCAATTAGAATTTTCAATTTTGTTAGAAACACTTGGCAATAGGCAATAACACCAATGTAATATTGCTTCAAGATACTTATTAACAAAATCTTAATATACAAGCACTAAAAGTCTTAAATAATTGCAAAGATTATGATTGGGCAACGTATGTATTCTTCTTCATTGATCAATTTTGAAAGACACGAGCTTGAAATTACTTTTCAGACTTGGTGTACATAATGCCTCATCTTTTATCTCACTTTCTCGGCCTTTCTCATTTCTTATTTATATCAACGCCAATCATGATATACTGCAAAAAGACTTGGCTCGCTTCCGTACACATAAACATGGCAAGGAAGCACTAGAAGTCGTCGCGTATCTTGTAAAAGAAAACACTCCTGCTTAAGTAGATTGGATATACAGTAACTCGATACATCTGCGCACACATGCATAATCATCATGTATAGTTCTATAGAGGTGTTTGATGTGTGTAGGCGATCACTTTATTGGCGATCAAGCGAGCAAAATGAAGAATTCAATGTAGCACCTCAATTTGTAATTTGTAAATAAGTTTGGTCTTTACGTCGTGTAATATCGAATTTTACGCAATCGTATAGGCCAAACAACGGGTTTAAGAAGTGAACAATCCTCTATTTTTTATGTGGTTATAGCGGTTATAACACACGACGATTACGCGCAGCTATTAAAGCAGATTAATAAAAAATAAATATTCTTAATTAGTTTGTTTCTCTCTCTCTCTCTCTCTCTCTCTCTCTCTCTCTCTCGAATATTTTATATTTTACTTGAAGTAATGGGTAAAGGATTTTTTGACAATTATAATGACAAATTATCCTACTGAACTTGTTCTTACTGAACAATTTTGTTTGCGATTGATGTTGAAATAAGATAAATTTCGTAAAAAGTTTTGGTTAACATTCTCTCAGTCAATATTAATATCAATATCAATTTCAATATCAATATTAATATCGATATCTTATTGCAACGGTATGTGAAAAGTGAAACTTTTAAATTTTTTAATAGTGTTTAGTTTTGTATAGGTAAGCGCGTTAGTAGTAGTAGTAGTAGTAGTATAGCATAGAGTGCGCTAAAAGATTGATGGATTTTTTTTCTTTTTCTTTTTTTTTTTTTTTTTTGTTCAATATTGTTTGGAACAATACCGAAGTACGAATATTTTCTTTGCAAGCATTTTAATTTGCAATTTAAATGTGAAGCACACATTCTTATATTTCATACAAACACGGCCAGTGCTTTTGAAATGCCTACATAAGGTTGCATTAAGACATTTAGACTGAAAATAATCGGAAGGAAAATTAATTTCGTGATGGCAATTGAATGTAGCAGTATATTGGCAAAATTCTTTGAAAATATAAATCTCTGTATAAATTATTCTTATAATTTAACGACGCGAAAGACTAAGCGCTATTGTATAACTAAAAACCTTAAACCTTCGTTAACTTCGAGATATTTATAATGACAAATATCGTGTGTTTGCATTTGCGTTTCTTTAATAATTATCATTTTTAGCAGATTTACGAATCAATCGATAAATAGGGTCTTTGATATTACATGAATTGCAGCGTTGTTGCTTTATCATTTAGTCATAACAGACAGTTGAAATATTATCGAATTATCGATTCAAAAATATTTTGTTTTTTTTGCATCACTTAATTTTTTTTTTTTTTTATTCATGACTTATTTCTTTTTAATGTACAAAATGTTTACATGATGATAAACAAAGAAAATTAAATACGATTAAATGTTAAATTCACATATCGTTACAAGTACTATCATACTTGTTATTTATTTTATTTTATTATATGTATATATTTAAGTAATACGCAAGCATTTATGATATTTTAAATTATAAGATACTAATTAACAAAGAGAATAAAGAAACTAATAAGTGTTAATGTATGCTTAGAAAACGTAATAAATATTACTCGTAAATATGACAATTTTTCTTAAAACTATTATTTCGTTATGCATATTAAGCTTCGATGAAATAAGAGAATTATGCATGGCAAAAAAAAAAACACAAAAAAAAAAATGAAATTTTCATTATTTACAAAAGGTTGTTGTTACATAAAAATCAGCGTCACCCAGTTGTAAATTAGTGAGACTAAATTCTTATAGTTTTGCAAATGTATTATTTTGGGAGTTAACTAACCATAATAATATCATGTAATTACCAATTAGTAATGGGAAAGATATAAAAAATTTTTTTTTTTTTTATTAAATAAGAAAAGAAAGACTTATCGCATAGTGCATGCAACGTTGCTTTTTACTAGGCTAGTACTTGAATTCCTAGAATCTTATAATAATCGAATGCATCGATGTTTTTATTCTTCTCTTCTTATTACTTGGAATAATAGTGCTCCATGCATTATTTTTCACTAATTTGTATTTTTAATTTTCGATTATGTACGATATGTTAAATGACAAAAAGGCCAAACTGCAATGGGAATAATTATAAATTCTTCGACATTTCGAAACGGAATATAAATTTTGTGCTAATTTTGTTTAAAATGTAAAAAGAAAAAAAAACGACGATCATTTCGCGTATTCGAGGATTATAGAACAATATTATATAAAATACTATTACAATTATAAATTTTTATAATTATTTATAGATCCAATTCATCAGGAATGCGATAAAATGCATTGAATTATAATAACAGTGAACGATTTTTTAAACGAGTAGACGTAGTATTTTTGTTATTAGATACATTGAAAATATGTGAAGAATCCTCACGTTTTCTATTTAAACTATTTAAACATTGATAATATTTAAAAATTAATTGCTTTAAATTAAAACTTGGCTTGACATGTTGGAATTCAATTCAATTTTAGTTATATTTTTTTTACGCCTAATCGATCTTTTCATGAAATCCCGTCGGAAGCTACAAATTCTAATGAAAAATTGTTATATATATTTTCTAAATCGAATCTTAAATTCATTGTAACTATTTGAATAATTCAAATACTATCCTAAAAAATATATATAAACGGCTATAATGTTGCTGCAGGTAACGAGATCGGCAGACTTGGCGATCGAGATCCCGGGTAACCTTAGTCAAGGCGGCTCCTGGTACAGACTGGATTACACTCCTCGAGTTGGATATCCACCGCCCAACACGACTATCGCTGCCTCGGACATCGGTGACGTCATTAAGTTTCGCGATGGTTTGCCTGGGACCCGTTACGAGTATTGGCTGTACTATAGTAACGACACTCTTCACGATTGGCTTACCTGGACGGCCTCCATTACGACCCGTGAGTGAAACATCCATTTCTTTATCCTTTATTTCCTTCTATTCAACGAATTGCCATTAATTTTAACGCAAATATTTATTACTTACGAATATTTTCAATAGATTCGTCATCATCATCATCATCATCATCATCATCGTTATAATAATAATTATTATTATCATTGTTATTTCTTTCTTTTTTTCATTTCTTTTTTAAGAGTATACCATGCAGAGAGTTCTCGCGAACAATGGATTCTGACTTTACAATGAACAATCAAAATTATCTTTACTTTTTGTCACTTTAAAGTCACGTATATCGGACAATTTTTATTTTACCTGTATCATTCGGGTCGTAGAAAGCCTACTGATAATGTTAATTCCAATACTAATAATTATGGGCAAAAAGTTTTGTAATACCAATCTGAGTATATAGAGGATAAGAGATTATTTTAAAATTTCAATCCAATAAGCATTAGAAATACTCGGTACATTAAGATTATAAAGATATTTTGGCTCGCAAAATAATGATAGGCTTGTTCAATTTAACACGTGCTTTTCGTTAATTAAATTTTAAATCGAAATTATTATTGCAATAATAGCTATTGTATGCATATGAAAATTACTACATTCGTGTTTTTGCTCTAATGCCAATATTGTATGATTCATGAATTTTCCATTTCATGTTCAAATTTTACATAAATTCTTAATATTTTTTTACTATTTATTTTTTAATATTGATCTCGAGCTTTACTAATATTCAAATTTAACTGTTCTCATTCACGAATGTATTTGGTATTTGAACATTCTGATTGTAAAGAGAATTAGTTTTTTGTTAATTATATTTATAATCGATATTATGAATTTAATATCACTTACTGACAGAATTCCTAAGAATTTTCTTAATACTATTAGACGTATTGTAAAAGATGGAATATTTAAAAATTATATTCTCAATATTAATATTCAGCTACCGACCAATTATATTTCTTCAATACTTACTTGAAAAATTCCAGTATCCGAAAATGTATTAAAATTTTTTAAAAAATACTAAGAGCTCGTACGACTTTCTATAATTGACTTTCTCTTTTGTGTATTATACTTATGTCAAATTAGAATTAAACTATATGTAAAATAAATGACAAAAAAAAAAAAAAAACACAAACTCAGAAGATTATAATTTCTTATACGATAAATAAAAGATAATATAGGATTAACGTATAATAAGGACTTTCACAGTATGACTTGATATACCAGTTGTGCATAAATAAAAGAATGCCGTTCAAATAATTAAGTGATTTGTTATAAATGCGAATATAATTGATCTATGATATCAATATTATAAGATTTTTCAATTAAAATTTTTATGTATAAGTTAATTTATGACAAAGTATCCAACTAATTAATGTTCTTCTAATATAATTTGTCTATATTCGTAATAAAAATAAGAAAGTCTCGATTCTCTACACTGAATGTGTACTGATGTGTATGTATGTAACGAATATTTAACTTTTTTTTTTTTTTTGTTTATACATATACAAGTCATAACATTATGCATTACTCGATTACTGTTTTTATCCACAAAATAAATTTACAAAAGTTAATTTTGATATTTATTTCACTTATCAACTAACGATAATAAGATGGATTTTTAAGCCTCAATGTTAGTTACAATGATTTAGTTACAACGAAACACAATATACTTATCGTGAAATATATCGTCTTAAAAGTAAAAATATAACATGTAATTATCGTAATCTATAAATATTGTAATCGCTGAAATGTGTTTAATTGTTGGTAAAAAAGAAAATGGGAATATATTTCAAATTTCCGATTAAATTTATTCTAATGTATTTTATTAAACGCACAGTTATTAACGAATTTTTTCTTAACACTCATTGTTCAATAATAAATGAGTAATCATCCGACTGGTTTGGCATCTATATTTCGTTAAGAATCTTTTGTTCGATTCCCGGACGTTATAAATTCACTTGGACGAGTTTCGTTAAAACGAGGTCTGAACTACTCTCTCTCTCTCTCTCTCTCTCTCTCTCTCTCTCTCACTCTCTCACTCTTTCATTCACGATGTCATGTGCTGCTCGTCGAGTACGAATAAGCGAAATTTCACTTCTGGGTCATGCGACGATGCGATGTGCTGTCGCCGTGAGCTCGATGATGTCAATTTTCTTGGGAATAAATTGAAGACGGTCACTTTAAAATATGCTAAAACTAGAATTGAGTGAATTCGCTAGTGATTGTGGCGCGAAACAATTAATTAAATGGAAATTTGACCGGATTTATGAAAAATGCTGATATATTAATGACGTTTATTGTGTAGTTCGTTAATTTTTTGTAAAGAGTATTTTTTGCTTAATTTACTTGTATAATAAATAAGTTGAAGAAATTTATTCTTATGATGAGAAAATCTAAAAAAGATTTTATATTAAAGTTTGTGTAAATATTGTTATTAGACCTGATTGGCATTTGTAGTTTAATTCGTTTATCTCTATGGTGTTTTAATGCTATTGAACCTAATTTTAACAAATGTAAAAATAATTTTTTTCTTCTGTTTTTATTTTATTTTAATTTTTTTTTTTTTTTTTTTTTTTTTTTTTTTTTTTTTTAACATAAGTGCAATAAAGGTATTTTCAGTCTTCTGAGAAAACAAAGGTCAAAGATGCTAATAATAGAGAATGGAACAGAGTAACTAACAAACATGTTTAAAAACAAGGCTCGGCAAATTTATTTAAAGTTCAAGTTTTTTCGTTTTGTTAATGAATGTGGCTTTGAAAATTGGCAATTTTGGCACTTGTTTGAATTTGAAAATATCTCAGCCTATTTCTATCGGCGATGAAAAATAACGCCGAATAAAATGATTTTGCAACAAGTTTAGAAGGTGATTTTATTTATATTGCATTGTAACAATTAGCTAGTAAATACCGATAATCCAAATGTCAATCGTCTAACATAACAACAATGCGTGAATATTATTTAACGACTTTGGAATATAAAAGTATATCGACAAGATAAGTAAAATGCTTTCTATTCATATAGTCATGATATTACAAGACAGAATTTCGGGCCATACACGACGTAATAGAAAGTTTGCTCGTATTCAAAAGTTTAGAAAGTTAGGCAATTGTGGTGGAAGTACTAAAGTGATATCTTTTCTTACTTGGTGCAAGAAGTTGTATTATTAAGTTTTTCCTATTACTTAAATTAGTAAGTTAATTGAAATTCTTTTACTTCCGAATTTTTTTTTCCTTCTCTTGTCGAATTTACAATCGTCGGACAATTCCCCTTGTAATCAGCATATACAAACATCTCTTGAATAACCGATGGACGAAGACGAGACGCTTGATGACGATTCGGAGCTATAAAACGAATAAAAGTACAGATCGAATTGACTTCTCTTTCCCCTAACAGAAAATAATAAGCTTTCTCATGCAAGATTCACCGCCACGGAATTATATTCATTGCCAAATGCAATCACTCGGCTCGTCAAATAATATCTTATGTTATAAAATCGAATATTTCCATTAACTTTTAACGCATAAGACCGACTTTTTGCGCATAAAAGCGAGGCGCAGTTAAATATTTTTCAAATTGTTTGAAGCTAAACGACAACCGTTTCACCCTTGTTGCACTACCAATAAAAGAAGGATATTGGCCGAAAGAAGAAAATAATAGTCGATCCCCTATTGCAAGCGTCTCGGCCTCCGGAATCCCTTCAGTTGGCACTTGTCAAACCGTATGGCTTCCCGAATGCGCCCTACGACGACAATAAGCCGACCCAACGCTCATCCTCATTCGTCATTATTTTGCATTTCAGCGCCCGATCCACCGTCGAATCTCACAGTCTCCGTAAAAAGCGGCAAGTCGGCGATCATCTACTGGGAGCCACCCCGACACGGCAACTACTCGGGCTTCCGACTCCGCATCCAGAGTTTCAACGACGCCAGCAACCCCTGGTCGAGCGTCGTCCCCGCGGATGCGGTGCCCTACACGCTGCGCGACCTCACGCCTGGCGCCACTTACTCCCTCCAGCTCTTCACGGTCCTTGACACCAAGGAGAGCGTCGCCTACACCAGCAGGAACTTCACAACAAGTGAGTATCCCCCAGCCCGCCCATCGCCACCGCTCCCACCGAGGATCAATAATCCTCTCGGCTCTTTTATTCCTTGGCCCTTCGTCCTCTCGCCACCACCGCTCCTTTCCATCTTCGCGCTTTTTCGCTTCCGCGGCGAGGGAGTGCGCGCCTGTCGACTTCTTGCGCGCCGCTTAAAAACGATGACCCTCTTGGAACTTTTGACAATTGCTCGTCGGCGGGTGTCGCGAATTTTTCAAATTACCGGCTCACCAAGATTCTCCCCTCCTCCTCCTGCATGCCCATTATCATTAATAACAATGTTCGACGAGAGACATTATCCGAACATTCTGTTTTTAATATAAATTACACGGCTGCAGTCAACCGTGTTTGTTGTATTATTCGGGAGGAATTCCCAGTTCGGTTCTTTACGTCGGCCGAAGTCCAAGAACATTGTATGCTGCTGATATTAAAAAAGCAACAGAAAGAAGTCGCTCGATAATTCTTTTTCTTTTTTTTCTTCGGGGAAGAGCCGCGGGGAAGAAATCTTACAGAAATGGAAGAATCATTGAGCTACGGATTACAGACAATATTTATTCATTATTAATTCAAGAGCCAGTCTCGTTTGTATTTTTTTTTTTTTTTTTTTTTTTTTTTTTTTTTTTTTGTTTTGTTTTGTTTCCTCAACGTCAAAGGACAATTTTTACTTATACAAAATATAGAAATATTAATAGATAAACTTCACCTGCCTGTATGCGCCATTGATGCCCAATTCGGCTCATAAATGTATAACGTAATGTTTCGTTTCTCAATATGTCTATTTCAAGAAAGATTTTCAAATCAAATGTAACGTGAAATTGTACTCGATCGAGTTTTCTAATTTGTTCTTTTTCCACCCAACTAAGCATCATAATTCTATAACAATTTTATTGTAATTAAAATTAAAATTTAATTAATTTGCTTACTATTATTCGTTGTGTATGAATTCCAATTCTATGGCATTTAATGAGTGATTAGTAATTTTTTATATACGAAACGGGTGAAATTAGACTTCTTTGCATTTAAAAGTCTAATTACCATAGGAAATGATTAGGTTATGAAAATTTGAATAAAGCAGTTTCTTATTAGATTTAATTATGTGTAATTATGAAGATGCAGTGGGTACATCATTAATACGTCAATGGAAATCTAATTTTCGCATAACGTTACTTTATAATCTATAAACTAGATTATAAAATAAAACTATAAATTGCCATTTTTAATTTCTGCCTTGTTGGAATTGTTCTTATTTTACGACATAATTTTTAAATTATTTAAAAATCTATTACCCTTTTTCTCCGATGGAATTTCAGACTTATCATTATAATAAATCTAAAATTGGGTTAAAAGTACTTTATTCACTATTACGCAAATTACACGGAAATGTCATAAAATTTAATTATTTATTTGGAGAAACGTATCCTTAGTCAAAGGCTATATTTATAGATATGGTAATTGCCGTTTATGCTATTACGTAAACTAATTCTGAAACTTAGTATAATATCTTAAGGAGCTCGATTTACGTAATTAAGCACGCTATGATGGAATTTTATGAAAATTTTTAGGGAAAAGAAAACCCTTGAATCGAGCACTATTACTAAATAGTTAGTAAATTGAACGCTTTTGTATTTGTTTCTACCAAGTTCTGGATCACTTATGCTGAAACGATTTAGGAAATAATAAGTAGAACATCATTGGTTACAATTGAATAAGAGATAGATAATTCCCTATGCTTAGGTGAAATATTAGCGATCGTTGAAATTAAGGAAATTTTTCTTCTATTTCAGAGCCAAATACGCCGGGAAAGTTTATCGTCTGGTTCCGCAACGAGACGACGCTCCTCGTCCTTTGGCAGCCGCCTTATCCAGCTGGAATTTATACTTATTACAAAGTTAGCATAGATCCCCAAGATGCCGCTGAATCCATTCTCTATATCGAGAAGGAATCGGAACCGCCTGGACCAGCGCAGGCAGCTTTCAAAGGCCTCATTCCTGGTAAGCTCCTTATGCTTTTAATTCAATTCCACTTTGCTCTCATCTCGCGCTTTAACGCCTTAAACTTTATGTTTATGTATATTCTCTGCTCGGGATGTCCTTTAATATCCCTTGGCCAAAATATTACTTCATCGCTACTTATCATTATCGGTGGAGCGCGTTCATTTGATTATTGGCACCGTTTCGGTATATGACGCGCATTACTCGTGCTATCGTATTTAATTTAAGCTAATTGTGTTAAAGAGCCATGGAAATGGTACAAATAAATCAATTTCGTTTGTCGTTATTACAGAAATTTTATGAAAAAATTTCACTCTACCAAGTCAATATTTTTTATTTGCAAATCATTCGACCTGGCTTACCATTGTTTTTTTTTTTTTTTTTTTTTTAATCTTTAATCAATAAGACGCAATGAACGGTTTGTATATCCGATATTTTCGATCGTTGAGCATAAAATAAAGTCGCACGGTAATTCGCTAATTTGCAAAAAAGTTTGCCATTACCGAAAAAGAAGAATGCTCAAAATTATTCCCCAATAATTTATTACGAGAGTAATAGAGCAATACGTACGGTAATTGCAGGTCGAGCGTATAACATCTCGGTGCAGACAGTATCGGAGGACGAGACCTCGACACCGACGACGGCGACGTATCGTACGGTGCCGCTACGCCCGCTCAATGTCACCTTCGACAACTCGTCGGTTACGTCGACGTCGTTCCGCGTTTACTGGTCACCTCCCAATGGTAGCTCCGAGTTTGACAAATACCAGATCTCGTTGGCCGGGAATCGGCGCTTTGCCCCGGTTACCCGCAACCGCGAGGACGATTGTCGCTGGGAGTTCAAGGATCTCGAGCCCGGCAAGACATATCAGGTCGTCGTCAAGACCTTCTCCGGCAAAGTATCCAGCTGGCCGGCGAGTAGAGATGTCACGCTCAGTGAGTATTGTTCTCTTTTTCTAGAGTTTTTAATATGCTTATTCTACTTTCTTTTTTATCCTTTCATTTTTTTTTTTTTTTTTTTTTTTTTTTTTTAATTTATTTATTTTTTTTTTTTTTTTTTTTTTTTTTTTTAAAATTAATTAATTACTTTTTTTATTACTTTTTTTTTTTTAATACCACTCAAAGCTTGTTCCAATTTATAATTTTTCTCTTATGCTTACGAGCGACACGGAAATTTGCCTTACGTTACTCTTAATTCAAAAAAACTTTCGACAAATTTTTCATTCGATCGTTTATCTGAAATACAATTTCTGTTAATTATGCAAATTGATGAATTTAGTTTTGCATATATTGGGAAAATATTGTTTGTTAACGTTTGAATGAGCTAATTTTGTTTTATAATAATTTGAGAAGAGGGCGTGGCGTACACAACTTACGACTTTACAAATTTACGAAAAATTTTGCGCATTGTGGTTAAAATTTGAAGAATTTACGAATAAATATTAATCGTAAAATACCAATAATGATTACTAGTCGTATAAAACGATAATGATGCAAGTGACAATCTTTATAATAAATCGAATAGTCTAAATTATACTTTTGAATATTGTATTCAAGTATTATTTGAGCATGATTTCGGCGTGTCGAAAAAATGTTAAAAAAATTTAAACGATTTCATGTACGATTGATGTCTGCATTCTCTCGCTCGCAAATTGCAAGCAATCGTTGCAAAATAAAAGAAATATATATATATATATATATATATATATATATATATATACTTGTGATTTACATGTTTTATAGGACCTCTGCCAATTCAGGATCTTCGGGCTGAAATTGATGAGAAAACGTGGATGGTCGAAGTTTCATGGAGCCCAGAAAATGCAAGCACTCAAGATACTTATAGAGTTCAATATCACGAAGTTGAAGCGACAATTGGAGGGGATAGCAATGTTTTAACGACTAATAAAACAAAGGTGATTGTATACGATGATATTTTTTAATGAAAAACAAGACAATTTTCGTATCGATACTTCAAATTGCGATTTAGATGAAGACTTTAATCAGCGAAATATATCAATGAAAGAAATACCAAGATAGATCGGGCCTTTTATTAATATATTAGCATTTTTTACTATTTGCTTCAGTAATTTAAAGAAATGTAAGTAAAACCACCTTGAAAATCTATCGATCATTCTATCGATCAAACTAGACAATCAAACCAATCATAACCAAGGCTTTCTTATTATTACAACGTTACTCTATTCACCAAAGACAGCGGATATCGTCCATTGTCTTGCAACTCTCTACTTTGCTATTTAAGACGAAAGTTGGCTTTAAATGAAAGTGCATTTAAGTAACGAAATCAATCTATTCCTAACGAGAATATTTATATTTCTAAATACGTTGGATCATGGCATATCGTTATGTTACAATTACAAAATGAATAGACGCATAATCCGCAGACAGTCACTGTGTCCGATCAATGCTGTTCTTCATTAATTAATAATAACCCGATTCGATGAAAAATGTAAACGTCCATATTATAATGCAGATTACCCTGGAAGCGCTTCTGCCGGGACGCAACTACTCGATAATTGTCCAGGCGATCAGCAATAAAGTCGAATCGAACGAAACCATCCTTTACCAAGTGACGAAACCCTCGAGCCCGATAATCGAGGATCTCAAGTCAATCGAGAAGGGCCTGAATATCTCGTGGAAGAGTGACGTTAACTCGCGCCAGGAGAAATTCGAGGTGACGCACAATCGCAACGACACGGGCGAGAGCGCGACAACCCTTACAACCGAGTCTCACATTGTCCTCGAGGATCTTTACCCCGGAGCTGGCTACGAGGTCAAGGTCTTTGCCATAAGTCATGGATTAAGAAGCGAGCCACACGCCTACTTCCAAGCCGTTTGTGAGTGAAAATTATTTATCTTGTGATATAGTATTCGCGAGTCACGGCGCGTGTCCATTACTATTTCCTTTATTACTTTCTGGATAATTATGCTTTTCCATCTTGTTTTACTGCTAAGTTCCAATGAATTCACTGGCCTAGGGTAAATTTTCTCGAACTTCATCACTTACCGACAAATGTTTTTTTTTTTTTCTTTTTTAATACAAGTGGTAGTATTGGTAACACATGCATAATTAATTACCTTATCCTTGGGGTTTAATATAGCTTTTCTTTTTCTTTAAACTTATATTTTCAATGTAACTCGTGTTACCCATACGAACGAAGAAATCGTTGCATTATTAATATAATCGGGCATTTACCTTTCCAATGTAATCAACACATTTGTCGAATATTTTTGATTATTTGTAACGATCCAAGTAGCAGGAAGAAATTCGCGTGATATCTTAAACGTAAGAGGACGCGAGGAAAGTTTAGATTTTCGAAAGGGGACGCGCTTGATTGAAGAAAATTAGCCGCGACATGTCGTATCGATAAATTTGGGTCTAGAAAAGAACGAGACGATAATGTGATGACGTTGCTTGCAATACAGTGCCACGTCCACCGCGTAATCTCAGCATCGAGAAAGTGACGAGCAACACGGTACTGGTGCACTGGGAGGCGCCCACCGACTCGATATTCTCGGAATACGCCATCAGATATCGCACGGAGGACGACCCGCGATGGGTGAAGCTACCGAGTGTCAAGGAGACGGAGGCCGAGGTGGCGGATATGACACCCGGGGAGAGGTACACCATACAAGTCAACACCGTGAGCTTCGGTGTCGAGAGCCTTTACCCTCTTCAAGTTAATCACACCATTCGTACGTATATTGAACGTATCCTTAATGCCATCGAAGCTGGACGTCACGGCGCTTTTATTAATCGTCGATGTCCTGTGGGATTATATCGATCGAGAAAGTTAATGTAAAGTCGCGCGTTATAATTTATTGGCCTCTTCGTCAAACTCACTTTATTACTATGCACGACCTGCTCGTAATTTCAATATTTATTCACAATTACATCTATATACGTCCTAATGTCACAAAGACATTTTCTGACCTTCGAACATTTATATTGGCATTAAAAAATCTCTAACCCCGTAAACTGCATTACCCTCAACGTTACGAGTAGTGTAAAAAAAGTTAAAGCATCACGTCATGGTAATGTCGATGGCTTCGCGTTAAAGGATTTTCCCATTACATGGCTACCACTCATCTTCGGCCATTGAATGTTTGTCGAAATAAACCATATGTTGTCAAGGAGAAGGCGCACAATGGCCTGGGGAGGTTTTTTTTTCTTCGTCATCGACGTATAACCTTTGCTATTTCAGGTCCTAATCCCGTAGTAAACGTCACGCCGGTGATCGACTCGACGAACGTGACGCTCGAGTGGCCGCGACCCGAAGGTAGAATCGAGTACTACGCGCTCAAGTGGTGGCCCTTGGACATACCGGAGAGCATTCGGGCGAAGAATGTGACGGCGAGTAGCGACCCTTCGAGCATAGTCTTTGAGGACAGTTCGACGCTGTCGAGCTCACCGTCGGCCAATCACAATATCGAGAGGATATTGGTGGGCGATCTCATGCCGGGGGTCGAGTACGTCTTCACTGTCTACACGGTGTCCTACGACCTTCTCAGCGACACCACGAGCCTCAAGACTCGCACGAGTTAGTGAACCAAACTCACCTTGCCTTCATTGTTGCTTTTCGGGAGCTTTCTTCTTCATCAATTTTTCACGATTAATCAAGCGCGCACAAGTGCACGCGCTCCGTTTAGCCCTTACGAAGATTACCTTTATGGTGTTGTGTATTAGACCGCTTATCTAATGGAAATTATATAACTTTTACCTTCGAGTCTGAATATTATTATACACTGTCTAATTGCAAGGCTCAGCCCTTGTATGTGATGTGCGCAACAAGCATAAGCTAAATAATTATTAAATGATAGCTTAACGTTGAAATACCGAGAAGTTCAAATTTCATTCTCATACACGTCACTCGTGACGAAGGAAAAGAGCTACGTTTATTATTATTATTATTATTATTATTTTTTTTTTTTAAATTTAATTTTACAAATGACATCATTAATTTACGAATTTATGACAATGAGTAATACAAGTTATTAATTTCAAATTCGATTATTTTGATTTTAATTTTATAAATACGAGAATATTTTATTATTTTGGTTGAATTTGTTAAATGACGTAATGCTTTTTTTTTCTTTTTTTATTTTGAATTTATTCGCTAATTTTTGTAAGAAATTGTATTGGAAATGCTTTAGATGATAGACATTATCGTTTAAAGAAAGAAAAAATGAAGATGAAGAAGCAGAAATAGACGAATAATTATATTAATCACACAAATGTATTGTGATGTATTGTGATGTATTGTGATAATAATGTTTTGTGAAACTATATATTAACAACCAATACGCGTGAATCTTAAATTTACTCCATTTAACCGCGCATGGATAAATTCATCAATTATCGTAGATTATTGCTTTTCTCATTATACTTATTGAATTAAGTCCAAGTTCTTTTATACATGATAACACGCCATTAGATTATACTTTAATCCTAGAATTTTGTTTATCAAGGGCCAACTAACAATGACCATATAATAATTAATATAATTGAAAATAACTCAACATTTATTTTTTCAAATAACTCAACATTCTACTACTACTACTGCTACTACTACTACTACTACTACTAATGCACACGAATTTTCCCACTGCTCTAACTCATAACGTTGTAAAGGTGAAAAGGAACTGGGAACAGATCAAGGTACATTTTTGTTTCGTAAGTGTCGTATCGCATCAAAATAATAACTAGTGCCATTAACTAACCGACTAATGAAAGAAATCAAATCTCATTTACATAATGCATGCGATATGTTGTTGATAGTAGTAACAGGTGCTCTCCTCATCCGTTAGCTCGTGCATGCCCACGGAAATGGTCGATGAGGTCCGTAAGCGCTTGACAATAGTCGCTAATATGCCTAATAAAAAGACTGAAAGTGTTATTTCAGCCGTAGAAATGTATTGAAAGTAGCTGCTTTTATAATACGTAGATTTAGAATACGAGGCGTCATCGTCGTCATCGTCGTCGTTGTCTCCCCTCCCACCCCCTCCCCTATCATATCACCTCACAACCATCTCGCTGCTTTCCATCACGACATTCGCTATCCCATGACAATGCCGAGCTCATGTTTTAAGCAAAACTGTGTGTGACTTCGTTGAGACGCGAGTACTCGTCTTAGTACGTAGTTTTGCGATTGTATCAAATGCTTTTATATTGTAAATCGTAGTGCCGCTGATTCAATCGGAGGTGGTCGTGGTGGTCGACCGGGATCAGCCGGACTCGCTCACGTTACGCTACACGCCAACACCCGTCCAGTCGTCGCGCTTCGACCTTTATCGGTTTCGCATAAGCGACGGCGTCAACACCACGCAGGAGCGCATCGTCAACGACACCGATACCAAGGTCACGTTCACGGACCTGATGCCCGGGAGGCTGTACAACGTGACCGTGTGGACCGTCAGTGACAAGGTCGAGAGCAGGCCACTGCTCAGGCAGGACAGATTATGTGAGTGTGGGGGCGCATCCTTTGGTCTTGGAGATACGCTTCCCATGTCCCGTATGACCGTCTCCAAATTTCCTCCCACATCGCCTGTAATAACGATCGAAGGCTCTTGCACATTTGTTTTTGCAATTGTATTATTTTAGTCCAAGTTTAGTTAAGTTATTATAGTAATATAGGGAAGTAGGTAGAAGATGGATTAAAAAGAACGTATTCTGATTATAAAAATATAATAATATAAAAATATAGATATAAAAATAATAAAAATTCCGCCATTGTGTTCATTATTGACATCAACGTTTCATATTACAAGGATTTTTATCTTAGGTTTGAACTAATATTAAAAGTTCCGGTAAATTATAAAAAAAAAAAAAAAAAATGCATAAGAAATGAGAATTCTTACAATCATCTATGAAATATAATTTTAATTATTTATTGATATTGATAAGTTTATTTTGTATTTAATATGGATATTCTACCATCGTAAAGGTGCATAAAAGTGCAAAATTTTTAGCAATTGTATGGATAAATGACGTCTATGCAATTATCTTGTGATAAGCCTCATTGCTAATAAAATACTTTAATTACGAATAAAAAGTAGAATCGTAAGTATGTATAGAAAGCTTAAAATATATCTAAATAATTTTACATATTGTCCGTACCGTTTAAAAATATAATGTAAGATTTTACACGCCAAAAGTTCGCAAACGATGAAGAAAAAATAAAAAATAGAAATATCGGCAATTGTCGAGTCTGTAATATCAATGCCAAAGAATATCACCAGAAACAAAAATTGTCTGGCATTTCTCCGACATTTATTACGGAGCAACAAATAATCTTTCACGAGTATGTTAAAAGAGTCGAAATACATTAATTTTAAAGTCGCTCTCCTATCTTCTCTTTCTCACGATTTACGTATGTCGCGTCTTCGAAAAAATCCTTGCTGTAAAATGTGAAAATCTACGGGGACAGAAAGTACATATTAGCCATATCTCATACCCATTCCCATTCCCATTCCCATTCCCATTCCCATTCCATCGAGATAACATCTCGGCCCATAAAGCCTCGAGATAACGTAGTTAATAGGGTGCTGCTATCTTATCGCTTATCGTCATCCGCAGACCCGGAGCCAATCACGGCGATCAACGCTACGGAGATCAACGACACGAAGATCACACTTGCTTGGGACCCTCCGCGCGGCGAGTATGACGCCTTCGAGGTCCAGTACATAAATGCCGAGGATAATTATGTGCAGAATATCACGTCGATGAACGCCATAACGATAACCGACCTCAAGCCCCATCGCAATTACACCTTCACCCTCGTCGTCCGGTCGGGCACCGAGTCCAACTACCTGAGGCGCTCGAATCCCTTGAGCGCGAGCTTCACCACTAGTGAGTCATACCCTGGCAGAGTCGACAAGTTCCACCCGACGGATATACAACCGAGCGACATCAGCTTCGAATGGTCGCTGCCCAGCCAAGAGCAGAATGGAATCATCAGGAAATTTAGCATTACCTATGGGCTCGAGGTACGTGCCCTTATTAAAAATCTCGGATGATGATCCGCCGATTGGCTGCAATTCGATCATTATACTCTCTGCAATTTATTAAAATTAAAATTAATAGCCCAGTAATTATATCTCCATGTATTTTTTTTTTTTTTTTTTTTTTTTTTTTTTTTTTTTCAAAGCTTATTATAACTATATATCGTCCTCATATTAATTTTAATATTAATCGTCTCATAAATTATACTGTTTTTACGTATTTCTTACAATAACTTGATAAAACAATTAAAACAAGTATACTTATAATCGCTCACAGTTTTCATATGAAAATTTATTTAATAAAATAAATGTCAAATTGTCCGTATTATTTTATAGTCAATTTTTCTATGTTCTATAGCGTTCGGAGTTGTTAATTCATAATTGAATCTAGAACAATGAATGCTCAGATGATTCCTTCTATATTTGCGGCTATGTGTCATACGATAAAACATCTAATACTAATTATATAATGTTTATTTAATAAGAGATAATATAAGATATGCGATTGAGGATTACACGTGATTAGATTACTATTACTCGTAATTACTCGTATAGTTCTTATTGACGGTTATAGAATATATATATATATATAATCGCTAAATTGCAATCAGACCTAACGGAGAAAGTTATCGTTTAGAAGAACTTTATTATATCTTAATAAGAATAAGTCTTCTCATATAGTTCGGTAAAATTCGTCGATATTTACCTTTAACGACTTAAATGCATAAATTGCGTTTAACTATGTGCATACGCTGTATATTTATATTCGGGAATTATGAGGGATGGGATTCGCGTTAAGAATCCACAAATTATACGATATGGTTACTCGCGATAATATTGACAGTGATTCATCGATCGATCGTCGTGCACTCATGCGTTCATACCCCCCCCCCTTCCCCCGCGGTATACGAGTCAGCACTCGACTCTGACGGATAAATAGTTAATAATAGAATAGCGGAAAGCTTGAATATTCATGAGAGCGGTTCGCTCGGGCTTAGGCGCCGTGAGAAAAGACGAAGCGCGAGTAGGTTGAATAGTTAGGTAGGAATAGGCAAGAAACGTCTTCGATGGAGTAAATAATGGGGGCGAGTTCGATATATGTTTGGATGGATCGGTATTCGCGGCATAATATCTGTATGCGTGTTGGCAGGGCTCGGCACACACGCAGGCGCGCGACTTTAAGTCGAGCGAATTCCGCGGCACGATCAAGAACCTCATCCCCGGGAAGACGTACATCTTCCGCATCCAGGCGGAGACGCGCGTCGGCTTCGGTCAGGAGGCGATCTGGAAGCAGAAGATGCCGATACTCGCGCCACCGAAGCCGCTGTCCCAAGTTGTGCCTACCGAGGTCTGCCGAAGCAGCATCACCATACAGATAAGATTTAGGAAGAATTACTTTAGCGAGCAGAATGGCGCTGTCACGTCCTACACCATCATCGTCGCCGAGGACGACAGCAAGAACGCGAGTGGGCTCGAGATGCCCAGCTGGAGGGACGTGCAGGCCTACAGCATTTGGCCGCCTTATCAGGTGAGCGACGTGTTTCATCCTCATCGATCATCCCCCACAACTATTCGGGCACCAACTTTCTCTTCGGCTTTCTTTCTTTCTCACCTCCCCATCCCCAAACCTCCACTCATCCCCCTCGTCAAAAATCCCCAATCCCTACTCACACCACCCCAGGATTAGCTTATCTCACATCGCCCCCATTTTTATTGCATCCTTCGATCTCCAAGGATAACTAACTGATAATCAATAAGTCTATAGTTCCGCGCGTTCTCAAAAATATCCATGGCCAATCGAATCGTTTGGATTTAAGGAAAAGCCCGTCATTCACGAGGCAAAGGCCAGGTAGCCACGAGCGGTACCAGTTTTTGGAAATGAGATAACGCAGTAACGCGATAATGCCTAGTTTGTCCGCTTGGCTTTCCACATCCTTTACACATTCTCTCTTGAATATCGCATACGAGTCGACGAATTACCAAACCAAATGTCCATTTATAAAATAAGGAGGCGCGAGGTAATTGAAAAGCATTACTTGTATAATTATAATTTCAAATAACGTTTACTAAATTGAAACAAAAGCAATGTATGGGTGGGTGCGCCGGTATATTAATAATACGCACACGAAGGCCATCGTTGAATTATTATCGAGAGCGCAAATAATGCGCGGCAAGTGTTAGTATACCTACTCTATAATTTGTAGTTCGCATCGCGAATTCGTAACGTGGTACCTCGGTCGCGTTGACTTAACCGTCCGGGTATCGGAGGGAGGGGGACAAAAAAACCAAAAACAAAAAAAACAAACAAAAAATTGACCCTTTATTATATTAGCCAGATGAGCGTTATATCGACTATCGAGCATATTCGCCAAGCATTTTGCGAATCGCGCGCTTGCAATTTGTACTTGTCGCAGGTGATGGAGCCGTATTATCCCTTCAAAAACAGCTCCGTGGAGGACTTTACGATCGGCACGGAAAACTGCGAGAACAAGAGTGGCTACTGCAATGGACCGCTTAAATCCGGCTCGACCTACCGGGTGAAAGTCCGAGCGTTCACCGCGCCCGACAAGTTCACCGACACCAGCTACAGTTTCCCCATACAAACAGGTGAGTGTCGCCGTAAAAGTTTAACTCATGGAATGTACTTAACGTTACAACGCGTAACATCGTAGCCATAGAGAATATATAGAAAAGTTAATCTTGGCCTTTTGAGTCACACGGATGATCGAGTCACACGTAATTGCTGATATCATATATACATGTATGTTTGATGTGACATTGAATCGAGCGTTCCGCGCGTCTTGCTTCATAAACCGTAATGCGGCATAAAATGGCCTTGCGCATCGGGTGCGTGGGACTCGAGAGGTTAAGAATATGATGGAAAAATTTTACGAAATCTTTAAGCTCTGCGATTGTCGTAGGTCACAGCTTTAGCAATAGTTGCGAGTAATCTGTGAATATTCTAAAGTTGTGTCTGTCTGTTTGAAAGTTAAAGTTAATCAGGTGCGGGAGTAAAAATGTTAAAATTGGAAAAGTTAAAGAAAAGAAAAGAAAATTCATGCTTAATTATTTCGTGCACATGCCTCGCCTAAGGATTGCTGTTGGCAGGTAAGCTAATAATGAACAAAAAAAAAGTGATAATGACAAAATTAAATCAAAATTAAAATAAATATATATATATATATATATATATATATATATATATAGACAAAAATAAATCAAAAAAAAAAAAAATATATATATATATATATATATATATATATATATATATATATATATATATAGAAACAAGCAAACAAAAAAAAAACAAAACAAACAAACAAAAAAAAAGTGAAGCATTATACAGTGTCCCTACAAAACAGATCCAAAACAAGTAAAAAAACAAACCCACACATCACAATGCCTACACACAAGAACCTCGTGGAAGAGAAACGCAAACACGAATCACACGTACGCGCGCACTCCTCGGCTAACCTATACCGACACAATGACAACAACACATCGGTATAACCATGACGATATACAACAATACACAACGACGCGTAACACAAAAGTACATGACAATACTCGCATTACCGTGCACGCTGCTTTGGTTTTCGCTCGTTCGTTGTCCGTGATGTTTGAACAATTGTTCATTCACCAAGCCAGCCAACCTATACACCCAAATACTTTGCCCTCTTTTTCACGCGCCCGCCCGCCCACCCACCAGATAAGGACAATACGGCGATCATTGTTGGCGTTACCGTGCCGATCGTTCTGCTCCTGGCGCTACTCGGAATCGGGCTGCTGATAAGGAGACGCAGGAGCCAAGGACGCAAGACCACCGAGACCAGGGCGACCGACGACCTTTCGCTGCCCGACAGCGTCATCGAAACTAGGTGATAATGACATTTCAAGCTTTATTCCTTAATGGATGCTTATCCATTATCCATTCAACGCTGACACTCGTTTTACTACTTGCCGTCTCTTACTGACTTGCCAATACTTTTATCCGTAAACATAAAACAGCATGAAACAACAATGTGACGCTGCTAATCGAGGCAAACTAATACTTTTAAAACATAAAAATTATAGACTTTTTAGCGAACTTTAGTCGTCAATAGCCGCTCGATAATTACTTTTAATTGGAATGTCGTATCGGGCATATTTCGTAAGTATATAAATTCTTTTAATTTTATTTTGAATTTTTTTCTCTCTTTCTTCTTACGTACATTTTACCTTCGTATACATAGAGAAACGGTGTGAGTTTATAGATTTAACGGACGTGTATTGTATTATGAGAACTATTTTTCTTCGTCTCGATGTGTCGGCGATGCACATCGAGCTCATATACGCTACATTTTCAATTATCCAATTACTTGGATTTTAATGCAACTGTGTTGGCCCAATTCTGCCAACTTGGAAACGTCCTTTAACATACCGTGCGTGACGCGCCCAATTAGCCTAACACCTACCGTTAAGCCAATCGTTCTCCATGTATTGGGCTTAAGCGGCCAATTTATCCTCGTAGCCCTTTAAATAAATGTGATGGGAGGGATGGGGGAGGGGCGGAGGATGGGATTGGGGGGGGGGGGGGGGGGGGGGGGGGGGGGGGGGGAGAGGAAGCTAGAAAGGAGGCCAAATTAATAATCCCGTGGATTTTTTACTTTCAGTCGACCAATAAGAGTGGAGAACTTCGCCGAGCATTATCGCATTATGTCGGCAGACTCGGACTTTCGCTTCTCGGAGGAGTTCGAGGAATTGAAGCACGTGGGACGCGATCAGCCCTGCACAGCGGCCGACCTACCGTGCAACCGACCCAAGAATCGTTTCACCAACATATTGCCCTACGATCACAGCCGATTCAAGCTTCAGCCCGTGGACGACGAGGAGGGCTCCGATTACATTAACGCCAATTACGTGCCCGTAAATAAGCCAATACTACATTAACCATACCACCTCCCATAATAACCAACGGTTTAATAAATTTTACCCATCGTCTACATCATCTGCATCGAGCTTACGAGTGTTTTCCTTGTCACAGGGCCACAACTCGCCGAGGGAATTCATCGTTACGCAGGGACCCCTGCATTCCACGAAGGACGACTTTTGGAAAATGGTTTGGGAGAGCAATAGCCGAGCCATCGTCATGCTGACGCGTTGCATCGAAAAGGGCCGGGAAAAGTGCGATCACTACTGGCCGACGGACACGCTTCCGGTTTTCTACGGCGACATATCCGTCACGATTCTCAACGAGACGCATTATTCCGACTGGAGTATTACCGAATTTATGCTGCGCAAAGTGAGTTCAAGGTTTACGATGCTACGTGCTTTACCGCTTAAACGGTCCCTTTCCAGCTTCGTAGTCAACGTTCAACGTACATACGACGACAGCCACCATAAAACTCTATTATTTTATTTTATTTATTTTTTTTTCCGTTCCTTCCACCTGACTTCCCGCAAGTTTCTTCGAATCCCGTGATTGTTGCGCTTACATTGTAATCGTCGACGAGCGGCAAAGTAACATCTTAATGGCATTGGCATTATAATTGCGGATGTTGTATTAAGAGCGAAGCCAGTGAAAGGGCGGGACGAACGCGTAATTTGAATATCGTAATCGTACGAACTGGCTGAGGCAGGTTGTGGCAATAATGCGATGACGCGATCGTGAAATAAAAAAAGGCCGAAAGCTAATGTCTCCAATAACGCTTCCTCAGGGCGACTCGAAGCGAGTTATCCAGCACTTCCACTTCACGACTTGGCCGGACTTTGGGGTGCCCTCGCCCCCGCAGACTCTCGCACGCTTCGTGCGGGCGTTCCGGGAGCGCGTGCAGCCGGACCAACGGCCGATAGTCGTACACTGCAGCGCCGGTGTCGGGCGTAGCGGCACCTTCATAACCCTCGATCGCATCCTCCAGCAGATCCTTGTGAGCGACTACGTCGACATATTCGGCATAGTGTGGGCCATGAGGAAGGAGCGCGTATGGATGGTGCAGACGGAACAACAGTACATATGCATACACCAGTGTCTCCTGGCGGTCCTGGAGGGTCAGGACACCACGGGACCGCCCCGGGAGATACACGACAATCAGGGCTTTGAAGGTAGTGACAGTTTTTACGGAGTCGGTCACGCCGAGCACTCTTTGCTTGATAACCCGTGATTTGTTTCTCACATGGGTTCAGTGCCGAGTTGGGACACGTGACCTTTATCCTTATGTTTATAAATGCTTTTGAAGCTTGTGACATGCTGATTATACAACTTGTGATTCGGGCTTATTAATCTTCGATAGGCATTCATATATAAGAATTTTCTTTTAAGTAATTATCCCTGAATCGCGTGTAAATAAAGTGAAACGTGAATTCCACCAAACTTTCTAAACCTATTATTGTTATTATTATTATCATTATTATTATTATTACTATTACTATTATTACTATTACTATCGCTATTACTATTGTTATTATTGCTATTATCTCTTCAACTTATTCTTTCTTTAATTCAAGTATATGCGAGAGTGGGTCTGACAATTATTAAATCTCATCAATTCAGTACATCAATTATATCATTTTCTTCCTATACGGCAATCGCAGTTTATTATTATTATTCATAAAATAATATTACATGTCATAAGGCTATTGGATCGTACACTGAATCTATTTGTATTGATTAACTATTTGTGTCTGCTGAATCTTTGAGGCCCCACACTAAAACTCATTTGTCGAATAAAAAAAATTCATTGATTTCGGATTTTAATAGAATTACTCTGTGATCTAATCAACCTTTGTGATTAAAATATAATTATTTTATCTCTAATGTATGTGTTAATCATCTTTCTGCACTTTCAATTAGCAATCCAATATAATGTAAAAAATAATGATTATATAGAAATTGATTTTATTGGGTGGCTTGGGAGGTGGGGGGGGGCGAGAATAATTTACAAACTAAATGATATTTTAGCATATCAGGATTGAAAATTCATTTTAAAATGTAGCAATGAATATTTTATAGCTCTATTTTATCTTATATATATATATATATATATATATACAGTACTATGTAGAATGAAATAATTCTTACAGTTTAGACTATTATATATGTGTGTGTATATATATATATATATATATATATATATATATAATTATTTATTATTTTATTTTTTTTATTTTTCAATGAAATTTTGTCTCCAATCGTTCGCTCTTTAAATTTAGGAAAGAATCAAAGCTCGGTCGAAAACGCGAAGAGCCCAGTCGTGGCTGAAAATGAGAATGAGAAGGAAAGGTGACATTCGAGCAGCGAGTACTACTCCGACGGTAATTGAAAAACAAAAACAACAAAAAATTACACTCGTTGCTTGGATTTTTGATTTTTATACTTTTTTTTGTTTTTAATTTTCAAATACTTGCACGTTGTTTATGATGTTTGTCAATAATGCCGATTCAGCGATTAGTTTGAATCTTGTAATGTATTTTATCAACGTGGAATGAAGCATGCGTGTGTTCTTTTTTTTTTTTTTTTTTTTTTTTTTTTTTTCGTTACTATGAATGACACTTTTACTTGTATTAGTCTTTCTTTTCTCGTACCTTAAGAAATCTAAAAATCATCAGTCTGCTTCATTATTTGTTTGTTTAAAATTTTTTAAAAATATCTTATGCCAAATTAAATGAGCGATGATATATTAATTAATCGTACACGTAAAACGAATTTTAATAGTATGTTGTATGTTTAATAATAATGAATGCGCGCGCGTGTGTGTACTGTAACTTGACATGTTTCTTCTTCTTCTTATTATTATTAGCATTATTTTCTTTTTTTATTTATTTATTTATTGATTTTTTTGTTTATTATTAAAAGTAGTAGCCTTGTCTTGAGCATAGTGTAAAAATTGAATATTGATGTAAAATTATTGTAAAAGAATTTGTATTTGGATGAAATAGAATCGTAGTGTCGAGCTGCATGTTAAATGTTTTTGGTTCCTTCCTGGTTAATTTAGGTTAAATCGTATTTAATAATGATGCAGAACATGTTCATATGTTTTTAGTTAATTTAAAAATCCTAGGATTCGTTTTTTTTTTCTTTTTGTTTTTGGTTTTTTTGTTTGTTCACTACTAATTACGGTAATTAAAATGTTGAAAATTAAAGTGAGTATTGACATATATTTTTGTATCGATTTTTGCTGAAGATTATAATACGCACAGCCACAAAGTAACAGTTTTCTATTATAACAATACAAGAATAATTTTGCTGAAATAAAAAATACAATAATTTGTTCACAATGATCGTCGATAGATTATTCATTGATAAAGAACTACGTTACTCTACAAGTAATCACTATTCATTTAAGCAGTGTGCTTTTAACTATTTAACCAATCGACTGCCAATGAGCATGCAAATTAAAATAATCGACAAAAATCGAAGCATTTGTCTCGAAATTATGTTGTTTGTAATTAAATGGTTTGTAAATAAAGAAGGTCCGTGAGGAATAACTCGTGTAACCTTCGTGCAATTATTATTACAGATGACGAAGGTATCGCAGAGTCGGGAATGTGATGAGTGCGAAAGACTGATACCGGGCGGCTCGAGGGAGGAAGACAAGGACGATAATGATAGCGAGGAGGAAGAGGATGGAGAGGGGTGCGTGACCCTCGAGTTGGCGCCGAGAACACAGTCGGCGAGGGTCGAGAGCTCTCAGGACATTCCGATTGATTCGTTGCCGCTGATCGAACGGCGCTGATCGTGTCACCCGACAGGATGAAGACAACGACAGGATTATCTTTGGCACGCGGCACGGTCGAGTCGCCGACACATGTTGATGCACAGACACTGATTAAGCAGAAGTCTCCGTCCATTATTGGACGTTCGAGAGAACGTTCAGAGCGAGCGTTCGCGGGTAGTCGAGGAGACGGTTCGATTGTTGAAGAGCAAGACGGCGAACCTTGTTTTTAATCTCTCGTTAATGGCACTGAGCAATGGTAGCTTATAGCGAGGTGTGGCTCAGGGTACATCGATCACCACTCGTAACCTGTGTCAGTATGTTAGTAAGAAGGTTCGACGACATCATTTTTTTCTGTTTTTGTTTTCTGTTTTTTTTTTTGTTTTTTTTTTTTTTTTGTTTTTTCCTCTCAATCATTTATCGATTATTTAAGATAAAATAATAGCGCGCGGGAGTCGTATGTATATGTACGACTCGAGAAGATCGAAGCTTTTTCCAGCTATTGGCTTGATGAGCCAACTTTCAGACAATCGCATGTGGTAGTGATTTCAGCTCGAAATCTGCTAGGCAAGAGAACTTTAATGATTACGTCAAATTCCCAGTATTTCTCCAGTTACTGATGTTCTTTGTTAGCGAGCGTCTAGTTCAACCGCTTCTGTTTGGTGATTTTTTAATTATATTTATAGACGGTATTCACCAGCACGGCATTTCACGGGCTCGAACAGATTAAAAAATAAATCTACAAATTAATTAAGAATAATAATAATAATAATAGTTTTATCTAAACGACAAAACAAAAAAAAAAAACAAAAAAAAAAAAAAGAAACCAAAAAAAGTGGATACATTCACTTTTGAATGGTAGTTATTGAATTTTGTAAATGTCTATATGGATGGAATTGTTGTATTTTCCAATTCATTCACAAGCAAAGCTTATAAATAGCTAAAAGAAAAATATATTTAAAAATTACAGAATTTTAAGGAGTGAAAAAAAGATTGGTCGATTAAAAAAGTGTTTTACATAAAAAAAAAAATAAACGAAAAGTAATTATAATATTTATTTCTTTTTGTGAAAAGTTGTTGTATTATTGTTTTTATTTTTATTTTATACGCCCGACTACAATGCGAATTGATTTGACATAATTAATTTTAAAAATTATTTTATCACATAGCCTTTACCTACGTTCATCCAAATTTCCGTATAATTTTAACAAATATATGAATTATGCGGCGGCTAACGAGACCAACTGCCAGTTAGTCATTAAATGACAAATATTAATTAAACTCGCGTTTAATCGATCCGATGCTTTTCCAATGTAACTTATTCGTGAAATAAGTTTTAAAAAGGCGCCCTTGCTAGAAAACGATTAATTTGCTCGCCAAGTACCTCGACTACCTCGACGATTACGTTTATTTCTTGTAAATAATTGGTTACGTTATATCCAGCGATTAATTAGTTATCTCACGAGCATTCGTTAGTTAGTTTTGTGATATAAAAATGCAATTATGAATTCTACTATAATGGCTCCATAAGGTGCGCTAATGTCCTTAATAGCATGAGCATATTACAGGATAATTACAATAATTAACAGCTAATTTTATAAAACTTATAAGTAATTAGTTATTTCGTTAGTATAACTAATCCATTCAATTAACCGATACATTGCCGAAGTTGTTATCATTTGTAAATTTGCGTAATTGCCACTTAGATTCATTGGTAATCGTTTCATGTTGATCAATTTAAATAATAGACCTGCGATTTTCTGTTTATATGATATAATTAAAGACAAAAGTGTCGAGAGCTTTTTTAATTGGAAAATGTTCGTCAAATAGCTTGGAAGCGTTAATAGTCGTTTAAAAAAAAAAAGGAAAAAGAAAAAAGAAAAAAATAAGAAAGAAATGATTTTCAACTCTTATCTTCATTATAATATCTCGATACCTTTGTAATATTAAAACGGAGACATAAAATAAATTAAACAAGAAAAAATCTGTGGGAACAAAAAACTCGCATCTTCGTAGAAAGCCATAATCTCTCGTGTTGATATTTCTGTTTTAGCAATACACTAGAGATGTGAAAATAAAAGCTAAAAGAAGCGTCTTAAAACAAGAGAAGTTGCAAATTCGGATCTTTTTTTTTTTTTTTTTTTTTTTTTTTTTTTTTTTTTAAGTGGATAGGGGATTAATCGAAAAGCTGATCGCATTAAAAACGATTGTATAATCAAAGTGCGCAAATTTCATGAATCGTATATGTGTCGAAGAGTGTATTTAATTTTTCTACTTTGTTAGTCATGTAGGAATGTTAATATTTACTTATTTCTTAACTCAAAATTCAGTACCACATTTACGCACCAAGTGCGGAACAATCGTCATAAAGCTTGAAATGCGCAAGCATATTTAATATACGCAAGGACGTATAATAAAACTCATAAATAGAGGATGTGAATTAAAGGATTATTCATTTTTGAATGTGCGCTTCAAAGTGTTTTATAAACATATCGTTAAATTGATAATTGCTAAAGGTGCCACGATCCTTATCGAGCGTTAAATACGAATCTGAATTACCGACAAAGTCAGGGAGACGAAAGACCTTTCTTCCTTCGCAATATATTTTCTCCTCCCCATTATTCTTCCGAGACTTAATTAATTGTATAAATGTACAATACAAATCACTTTTAGACGGCATTTTTATTCGTATTTTTGTCTTTATAATAATCGAATGTTTGTCGGTAAATCAGTCTTCCTAGAAATTAAGTAGAGTTGTAAGCTATACGAAAACAAAACACAAAATACAAAAAACAAAAAACAAAAAACACAAAAAAAAAAATATGAATCAGATATAACGTCTTAAAGACGTCGATATCGTTTTTACAAGAGAGAAAAATTAAGTTGCAAAAGTCAAACATTCTATCGAGAATTGTATTATTACCACTATTACGATTGTTATTGTTTTTGCAGCATTTTATTATTATTAATATTATTATTATTATTATTATTATTATTATTATTATTATTATTAATGATTTAATTAATAATATCATTATCAAGTAGTATTATTGAAATGAAGTATCGTCAATGACATCGTTTTATTATATTTTCTCTCTTCTTCTTCTTCTTCTTCTTCTTCTTCTTCTTCTTCTTCTTCTTCATCATCATCATCTTCTTCTACTTTTATCGCGTTTGTCAATTATGACCGTTTCGATTACTGAAAAAAGCGTTAGAGCGATGATTTTTATCTAGCGAGAAACGTTGATAGCCTTGTGGAATTCGTCAGTTCCTCGTTGATAAAGATGTTTTTATCAATTAAAAATTCTATTTTTTCACAAACTTGATCTTACATTTTAGTAGCGTAAAACGAAACAGCCGACTTACAACAATAAACTTGTATTATTTTTTTTCCCTTCTTTTTATCATTTTTTGAAAAGTGAGGGCCATATAATTTTATTCCACGATGTTTTAAAATTTGTTTTTTAATTCCCCTTGCAATTACAATTTTTAGCAATGAAATTTATTATATAATAAATGAATATCTCATGACACATTTTAGAACAACTTGCTTTTGTACTTAAATAATAAAAAGTCACTGTGTGTTTGGGATTGTTATAAGGTGTAATTAATTTTGTATAAAATCTTACGATAAGTTTGCAATTGTCAAAAGAAAATAACGATTATCTTATCGCGTATAGGCCTAAGACACACTTAATACCTCGGCGAATGTATATGTAAGAACAATGCGTATTTAAATTGCAAAGAGCAGATAATTTATAAATCCCGTCGTCTCTAGGCCAAAAATATATTCCACATTTCATTATGTAAAGCTGCATAGTTCGTAGACTGAATAAAAAGTACTAACGACTCTCGAACAAATCCTTACAAATGCACTAGGTGTTACGAGTATCTCTAATACGAAGAGGTAAACTACCGCTCTTATGTTATTCTGTGATAATTGATAAATTTACAATTGTCTATCGATGTTCCGTCGCAGATGAATAACGCTTCTTGTGAATTCGTATTTTTCATTAATTGGCGTCCAAATAGTACGATCATATTATTTTGAGAAAGGGAATTGGAGGTGAAAAATTTCGTTTATATTATCGATTATTGTCCGAGACTAACGTTACACAATTTTTTTACTTAGAGAATCTTGTAAACAATTAATGTTTATGTATTAAAAAAAAAAAAAAAAAAAAAAAAAAAAAAAAAAAAAAAACATCTCTTTTATATAAAAAAAAAAACGTGTGCACTTTTTAAACTTGAAAAAAAATTGTTTTATATTTTATTGATAAATATTGTATGGAGAAACAAAATGGAAGACAGAAAAATTTACATTGTATTAAAAATTTTATTTGAAATTCGGACGTCGATGAACGCGCATAATATACATGGTGTTCTTAAAAAAAATTCCCTATGGTTTTTTTTATTTCCATGAACCCCTCAATATCTTTTCATGTATTATGAATTTTACAAAATTAAATTAATTCTAATTTTTGTTTTTTCAATTTGTTTTTGTTTTTTAAATTATTCTACGTAATAATTTTTGAATTTTAAGTATTTAAGTGTCTTCTTCAAGCTTGATGGTAAGAATTTATTTCTGGATCCAAACTTTTGAGACTTAAATTCGATCGACCTGAGTGTACTGACGGTGTCGGCAACGAGATTGGATTATCCATTGCTTTTTGCGATAAATGATTAGCCGACGAATTATGTTTGGTAATACGACCTGTAAAGTGTTAATTGGCATTATAAATTTGTTTGCCGTTAATTAACATTATCTACGTTACTTTTAACAATGGTTTATCTGTTTTGTTCAATTTTGTTAAATTACTAATGTCCATTGACATTGTTTTGCGAGATTCGATATTAACGAATTATTCGGAAATAATGAAATACTTGTAGTGTTAATTTTAATTTTCAAATACAAAAATAGAATATTTAAAGCTTTACGTAAGAGATATCGCGTAATGAATCATATTAATAAAATGTGCTGAACGATTAAACATTATCGAGCATCAGTTAATAAGAATAAATGAAAATAACGAGTCTTTCCTCTAATTTGCCCAAGTATTCTGGAAAAAATGCCACGAATACGTTCGTCTGATTTGGCTTGTACATTATCACCCTCGTTTAGCATTTTTCTTTGGAAAAATCTCGTGAGCGAACGTCCCCGATGCTGTTCCACAGGCTGTGCTTTCTCATCTTTATTCGAGAGCTTTAACATTCTTGATAAAGAATTGAATTTATACTTTTTTAACATATCTTCTTTGTTCCTGGATGAATTCATTATCTCCGACTACAATTATAAATTCGATAGCATCATTATTATTTTATTGATTAGTGTCAATGTCGTTAAAATACAATTTAAAAAGAAGCTAAAATTATGGTTATTTAGAGAATATGTTATGTTTAAAGATTCTTAATATATATTTTCACTAATTACTCACTAATTGTACTGTTAAGTTTTATTTTTAGATAATCCATATAGTCTATTTATTATTCAAATTATGTTTTTACAATAGCTGAAACGTTAAAGTTTATTAACTACGGGACAACTCCAAAGAAATCAGTAGTGAATTATATTTGTACATTGGTAATTTTTTCTTTTTTCTTTAATTTCATTAATAAAGATTTTAAATATCGTAATTGGTATACTGTTTTTATCATAGATTTTATTGACTGTAAATAAATCCTTTATTTTTAATAGTTTTTTTTTTTATATTTTAGAATAAATTGGAACAATTATAGTTAGTTGCTAATTTTATTTGTATTTATCAGTAATGTTAAAGAGATATTTTCTTAATTGGATATATATATATATATATATATATATATATATATATATATGCTGTATTATGTCTATTTTTGAAGGATTCTTGATGTTTATTAGTCACATCTTTATTGGGACTTACTTACTTACTGCTAAGTGAAAAGTATCAAATCATCAGCTGTTAAAGTAAGTATATTACATATATTCTTTATCAATTATATAATAATAAGAATAATACGTATTGCATTTAGGTAAATTATTGTCGTATATATAATTTTATAAATTTCGAAATATTTTCTCACAACAAAATCTATCGATATTTCCAAATAAGGGTTTGTTGATTCATTATACTGTTAATTTATGGAGTACTAATTAATTGCTCGGCTAATTATAATATTTTCCTCAATCTATTGGTAGAAGTTTTAACAAAATTAATTTATATAAGACATATAAATAAAATACTTTAAATAATTTGTTAAATAACTGAAACCTTTTTTTTTTTCATTAACGAACATGACAGTTTTAATTATAATTATTAATTGTCAATTACCTAATTATCGAAAGCTTATATTTTTCATGACCTCGTTCGCTCTTTATAATAAATTTTCGTTATAATAATATAAGTATTAATTTAATATGTATATCATATAAATTTCTTTACACTTAAAATTATGCGGTTATCTATTATTTTAAAAAATTTCTTATATTATTAACGCACGTTTCATAAGCTATTTTAATTAAAAAAAAAAAAAAAAAATTCCCCTAAACTTTTGCTTACTAGTTTATATATGCATACATACATACATACACAGATATGTTTTATTTGATTATAGATAATAAACAATTCAAAGTATAATATAGTCTATTATTCTTTATAATACGCGTCTTTTTTTTATTTTTTTTTTTTTAATATCATTACATTGTATTACTGTAAACAGTTAATTTGTTAAACGTAATATATACGATTGCATTACAATGAGAAACTTTTAATATTTAAAGTTAATGTCCACAATTGAATATAAATTGGGGTGATGGAACGGAATATTATTGTCAGCTTACGTAAATTATGTAAATATATACATCTGAGGTTTTTAAGTAGTTATTATTTTTATAAAATTAGATAAATTTTTTATGTACTTAAAATTACTGTATTTATCTCACAGAACTTCATACATAAGAGATGAATATAAAAATAAAAGACATAATAATAAATATTAATTATATAAAAAGAATTATGGTGATTTTATAAAAATGTAAGAAAATATTTAACAACATATACATGTACAGCACATCTACTTTGTAATGTGTGTATAAAACCGAATGAATATTTAGTAAATATAAAGAAAAAAGTCGAATATGAAGAAATCGGAGTGACGACAGTCACATAATTTCATTTTACATAAAAATTATAAATTTACCAATTAATATTTAATGTTTCAATGCTTTACTTGTTTAAATACATGTATTAATTTTGTAACTTATTATTACTTTATTATTATTATTCTTATTGTTACTATTAATATTGAAATTTACAATATATTTGAACGTTCACAATTCTATATGCATTTAATCAAATTTAGTAAATAATGTTTCTTAAAATATTAAATAATCAATTGATTTTGTCATTTTAATTAATTAATGGCGATTTTTTAATATTCCAAATATTTTCCTCATTTCATATTCATTAATGATTAAATTCATGCATAGTTTATCAAATACTTTTAATTTTGAGATTTATATATATATATATATATATATATATATTTACAAATATACTTAGAATTGTTCTCATTATATAGTAATTCGAATGAAATGTGTATGAAACTAATGAAATTTTAACATTCAAGTACAATTATGATTTTAAAAATTTTACAATTTGCTCGGTTTTATTAGCGCAAAGTAAATATGAAAATGAAATTGGAATAGAGTTTGATTGTTTGATTAGACTCGTAGTAATAAGTAATCATCAAATTGATTCTAAATAGAACAATTAAAGAGAAAATATTCTACGAGTAGGATATTAAAAGAATATAAACAATTAATGCTTAATTGGATATATTTTTGTAAAAACGAAACGGCTTTCAAATAATGACCCGTTGGTACTTTTTATTCATTCAAGAATAAATTGCAAAATCAATGACACTGCAATTAAATATTTCCTACGATACAAAATATAAGTATTAAAAAAAAAAAAAAAAAACACTAATGAATTCTGTACAGCATATTATATATGTATAGTTTTCATTTACTTATGCTTCATGAAATAGAATTTCGCAAAAAAGCATAACATGACATTTTTCCACACTATTATTTTGTAAAATGTCCATTAAATATGCTATTGTTAAAATCAATTTGTATGTAATTTACAGACATTAAGTTATACCTACACATTGTTAATGACACTTAATAGGATTGTCTCGCTTATAGAATTGAAGAATCTATGTTTTTGCTTTATATAAAAGGTTTATTTTCACATATGTTTTAAAAAATATATATTTAAATACATTTGATAAGTACGTAGCAATATATTGCCAAAGATTCAAAATTTCTATTTAACGTATTTTTTATGATGGAAACTCGAGAAATTGAGAGCGTAAAGCGGGATTCCACAATAACATAGAAGTTTAAAGTGCTTTTTCAAGAAATTGAATTTTGTGATTTTTCCAACTTGCAGGCGTGTCAGCGTAAAAACAGTAATATCATGTTTAAGTGAATCGATAAAAAAAAAACTGTTCGTTTATAGGAACGGCTTTTGTACACGAAATAAAAATATAATGATTCATGAGTCTAATAACAATGCAATTATTATTAAAGCGTCAACATTATGTATTGTGAATTTGTCAAACTTTTCCTTCCCATATGTTTGAGTGATTTACGTAAAAGTTCGAATAAATTTCTCACACAGCGAATGATCCAGAAATAAAATATTGACAATTTATACGTGACGTATAAAATATATATTTTTAATGCGTTATTTATAATATTATTATAACTTCAATTTTATTTGTTAAAATAAGCTAGTGTATACAATTATTTTTGTTTGGTTTTTTTTTCTATTCTTATTGATACATCGTTTATTTCAATTTTTTAATTATTTTTATTTTTCATTTTATATTTCTTATAAACATTATTAATAAAAGATACTTTGAGTTATGCATACGATCGTTATTCTATTTCAATATTTTGTCTAATGTTCCTTTCATTGTGCGGTATGAATTTTCTGTAAGGTATTGAAATTACAATGTATTTGCCACTTTTTATAAAGATCAAAAAAAAAAAAAAAAAAAAAAAAAAGTCATTTTGCTGTAGTTCTTAATACCGAGCTGCCTAAAGATTTTTAAAACCGCATAAAAAAGAGAAGATTTGTAATTAATCGATAATGTGTTAAAGGATGAATGACTTGATAATAACAATCTTTTTAAGAATTACCCAAATAGAAACGATGTAATTTATAATAAATTCATTTTATACGAATTCTGCATATTTCAGCAGACGATATTGTAAGTGAAAATTTCAAATAATATATTGCTGTTTGCGTATTTGCATTTATAAATCAATAATTTATCTTAAAGTGGTTTCCGAATTCGACGTGTTAACTTTCATAACTAATAATCACTTTTATAATGTACAACTACATCAGCAAACATGCAATTTCCCATAATAATTGTTCCAATTTATTTGCTCATTCGCAGGAATATAGCTTTAAAAATCTTATTTTTAAAAACATATTTTACATAAAAATGCTTACAAGTTTGGCTTTAAGCAATGCGACTGCAATTCACTTGACAAACGTAGTCAGTCAATGTTTGTGTGTGTGTGGGCGCGCGCGCGCGCGCGTGTGTGCGCGTGTAAGAAATTGGTAGCTGATAAGAGACGTAGGGGACAACATGGGGACCTACTTCGACAGTTGCGAAAAGGTGAATGACAATGTACATTTAGCGGGAGGGAGAAGACAATAGAGTAGATGCAAAGGCTCCTGGGCTTGTCGTTTCCAAACCTTTCTATCCGTATGAGAATCGATTATACTTAGGCAAGTTAATTGTAATATTCAACACGTATACTATGAAACATTCTAAAATAATGGAATTAATCTTTAACTGCCTTGATCGTCGACTGTAAATTCTCAACTCTCTTAATCCTTTCTCATAAGCTCGTGGATACGTGTAACGAAAGACATGCAAGTCCGTAGCACCCAACTTAGTAATATTCTTAATCATCGATATATCAATTAATCATCAGCTTTTTTGTAAATAAATAAATTTCTAAATACCTTATATTCGTGCGTGCATTAATCCGCGAGCGCACGCACTTTATCAAATTAATACAAATGTCATTCTTTACGGATTTAAGTAAAATTATTTTTGTTTCTGAAGTGCATAATTTTGAAATATTGAGAATATCTCGTCGTTTTCTTAACATCCTAATAAATTATTCAGATACAGATTTTTTAATTTCCGTATTAATACAAAATATTTATAATTATTTCTGATTGGGTAATCCGATCAGTACCGTTAAAAGTGAGCTACATACGTGAAGTTTGAAAATATTAATAGCTTAAGAAAGTATCAGGTCAATGTAATGAAAGCTGACTAGGAGAAATTTAAGAAAAGACATTATAAATCAACAATAATCGTTAGGTCTAAAGTTAATGAACTATAAAAAATATATTAAAAATATATTTACAAATTATTATTGCCATCATAATTGAAAGTTACACGTGATATAATTATGAATAGGATAAGAATGAATGCATATTTTTGTTTTAAAAATAGATTAAAGCTTATAAATGTGATTATTAATATTAAAAAGTAAACGTACCGAGCAAGAATCTGCACAATTATTTATAACTTTAACTAATGGCTAATACACTAAGTCAATTGTCATAAACATCGTATTTGAATATATATATATATGAAATGTTCGTTATCATTTTAATGATTTTGAAATTTATTATAATTGTAACCTATTTATCAGTTTGGACAAAACATGATTGGATAGTTCAGGTTAATATTAGATTGAGTATCAAGTTCAAATTTCTAACGGGTTTGGCTACACACTTTAGAAAATGGTAAAACAGGATTGCACTTGTATGATAAAATCATAAAGGCAAGGTAAAATTAAATGGTTAATTAATATAGATATATGCTTTCTTTATCTGTCAATTATTAATAACCTGAGCTATAAAATAAAGCAACAATATTAAATTAATGCAGATAATAAGAAATGTAAAAAATGGCACGGTAGTTTATCTATTTTTATCAAAATTCATACATTTATTTTTTAATTAATCAATTTGCCAATACAATTATAACGGCATATGTTTACTAAACTATAAAACATTATTTATCGTGTTTCTTCTTCTTCTAACTATTAAATTGAAACTAAAAACACAGCTATATAGTATTGTGTATTGTGAAATGTAAAGTTATCTACTGTCATTTAGGAATATATTAAATATTTTGAAAATGTCGTTTGTGGAGGCGACGGAAGACTCGACATGTTAGTTTCTAAAATAATTCCTTACAATATTGTAATCTTTTGATTTATTTTTTCAGCTCTTAAACAATATCTTATAGTGTTAAAATTATGAGATAACAAATGCGGAAGGGTAATATTAATGTCAAGTTTGTAATAGCGAACAACAAAGAAAACCAAATGATGATGATGATGATGATGATGATGATGATGATGATGATGATGATGATGATGATGATGATGATGATGATGATGATGATGATGATGATGATGATGATGATGATGATGATGATGATGATGATGATGATGATGATGATGATGATGATGATGATGATGATGATGATGATGATGATGATGATGATGATGATGATGATGATGATGATGATGATGATGATGATGATGATGATGATGATGATGATGATGATGATGATGATGATGATGATGATGATGATGATGATGATGATGATGATGATGATGATGATGATGATGATGATGATGATGATGATGATGATGATGATGATGATGATGATGATGATGATGATGATGATGATGATGATGATGATGATGATGATGATGATGATGATGATGATGATGATGATGATGATGATGATGATGATGATGATGATGATGATGATGATGATGATGATGATGATGATGATGATGATGATGATGATGATGATGATGATGATGATGATGATGATGATGATGATGATGATGATAATAATAATAATAATAATAATAATAACAATAATAACAATAATAACAATAATAACAATGATAACAATAATAATAATAATAATAATATCAACGTTACGAGGCGTTCTTCGCTATTCCATACGAATCATTAATATATATGATATTATTTCTCAAAATTCAATCCATATAAAGCAGATATTTTCCATTTTATCGATTGCGACGTAGTAGGTTAACAAGTGCGTCGAAGCATTTACAGTTAAGCAGACGTCGTAGAAAAAAAAAAATAAATAAGGTTTCGGAAAGAATGATTATATTTTATATAACCTAAAAGAACAGCGGTGTAATGAAAAAATAAGAAAAAGAAAAAAAAAAATTTATTAAATTCCATGTCTAAAATTGTAATGGTCAATGATATACGTGTTATGTCCTTTCGAATTCCGGAATAGATAGAAAAATGAAAAAGAAGAACAAGAAGAAAACGTGTTAAACTGGTTAAAAGACGTTCAACCTGTCTGGCTGTAAAAGACGTAGAGGAAAGCTTTAAGAGAGCGGTGGTGTAAACATTTGTCAAAGTTGAATGCAAAGGAGAGAAATAAGAAAGGTAAAGAAGGTAAGCGAAGTGGGAAAGAAGAGGAGGGATAGCGTTAGCGTAGTGAGTCTTGTGTCTAGTGAAGCAGAAGGGTGACAGGTTTATCCTTTATTTTACTTGGTTTTTTTTTTCTTTCATTATTGTCCCACAGTATTAGGCGTCTAATGCTCGTAGATACCGATCAGAAATCAAAACGCACCTTCTCCTCGTTCAGCTTCGAGTGCATTTTCATCATCTTGCCCATCCGGTCGAGGGTGACGCTCTTGAAACGCTGCATATCCCAGACGTTGGGCTCTGACCTCGAATTCCTGCCTCGACACGAATTACTCGGGCTCGACTCCATGATTATCGTCCCCATAGTCTTCGAGTCTCCAAACTCGATATTCTCGTCTTCTTCATCGCTCGTTGAGGAGGTCAGCTCTCTCTCGATCTTCCGAATGCTAGGCTCCGTCTCTTTATCTTGACTGCCAAGAGATTTGCATTTAGAGCTCTTAGGTTAACTTTTATAGGCGGCAGCAGCCCTTTGCTACGTTATCAATTTTCACGCTCGAGGAAGTAAATAAGGGAGTAAAATTAAGGCCGAGTAAGAATCTCGATTTAATGTCATATTTGCTATTCCAATTGTTTCTCCCTCGTGCGATGTGTTTGACAGAATTTCTCTATATATTCATAGACATAATGTCGAGGCTTTTATGCACGTGTCATTTGACGTCATCATTGACTGCACATGGCAGCTTATTTTCAATTCAACGAACTTTTACATTACAATTACATAAATGTCAATCGATAGAATACATAAATCTTATGGACAATATGTGTGTATTAAAATGTATTGAAATCTATTAAAATTACCCTGCTCCATCATAAAATTCTATTCACAAATATAAATACAATGCTTAAAAAAGTAACTGGAGTAAATAAATTTTACCTTAATATTTTAATGGCAGCTTTATTATATATTATTAATTTGTGTGTTGTTCGAGTGTTGGATTATTTGTGACATGTGTATATATATTTTGCTTATATGTATAAGCGAAGATATTTCTTAACCTTAAAATAAGTTGATAAACTTTGAAAAAGCGTAGAAAATGCTGCTATATTTTTATTCAAATGAATTCTTACTGTAATGATAATTGTCTTTATAATTATGTATCCTTACAATTTTTCGCTCGATCTCGGTGGCGATTCAATGCATGTTTCTGTATTCATTTTGATGCAATTTTCTCGTTATTCCTTTGGACATTAACCGATCTCAATACTTTCAAGATAATAATTTACAAAATTCTAAAACACCTATTCAAAAATACGAGAATTCGTTTGTGAAATTATTTATTTTTATATATACATACGCATATATGCACACACATATGCATATATATATATATATATATATATATATATATATAAATATATAAATGAATATGCATATATATTATATGTATGCGTGCGTGCGTGCGTGCATGCGTGTCAGCATATGTGTATATATACTTTTGTGTGTGTAGGCGCGCGCGCGCGTGCGTATGCCTGTGTATGTTTATATATGTATATCTTTTTTTCCGGTAATATAAAATTATTTCAGTAATCAAGCTCCTGTCAACCATATGACAAGAGACAAGATTGTGCGACATTCTTTTTTTCTTTTTTTCTCAAACATATTACAACTTCTTCGCGTTAATTATTGATCGAATGCCATTTAAGAAATTGAAACTTTTTTTTTTTAAGCTAAGGAAGACCAAATACATAAGTAAATGAAAAAATTGCAAATATTGAGAGAAAAAGCCTGTATCTGCATTTATTGAAATTATGCAATCCTAATGAGAAAAAACATACAGAAATTATATGAAAAAGAAGAAAGGTATGGATTGAAACATTATATTTTACAATAATTTTATTTAAAACATTTATTATAACAACTTTTCAAACAATTTCATATTACATTCATAACAGATTTATTGCAACATATTTCGTTGTTGATTAAAAATTTAATTCCTAATGAAAACATTTGCCCAACAAATTCCATTAGTTTTCTTTAAAATACATTTTTAAATAATGGAATTTTATTTCAATGAACTATTGGATAAATATCTATTTCGTCTCTATTGAGTTTATTTAACTAATATGATTTTTAATAATAAGATGTTATACAAACATTTATTTGCATATACAAAATATTATCTACAGTTTTAAAATAATTTTCTTAAGAATCGCTGTTTCTCGTACCGAGAAGGATAATTCGGAATTTTGTGATATTATTATTCGTCGTTGAATCGTTGGTCATTTCCAATAAAAACTCCAATAACGTCTACATAAAAATTGTGTTCTCATAATTGATGTTAAAATGTGTTTGATATATATTTGTGAAATTAATTATGATAGTCCGTCTACGAGTATAGTTGAAATGTTAATTATCATTACCTTTAATTAGCACTAGACAGTTATTTTTCCTTAATAACAAAAATTCATCTTATTCTATTTAATCAAAACGTTCTATTAATCAATACTTTTTCAAAGTTATTTCATATTTTTATGCATGAATAATTGTATATTTCAAAAATTTTTCAAACTTTGAAAAATATATTGCTTTTTAACGTGTGAATAAAATTTCTGAAATTAAACACAGAATATAACATAGCACGTGCGGTTTTGTCTTAAGAGTTCTAATTTATTAACCTAATTAATTTATTAAATCTAATTAATTAAATAATTAATTTATTAATTGATATATTATAATGAAATAGAGTTATACATGGTCTTTCGGCTATTAAATAATAAAATTATTTCTTATACGTGTTATTTTAACATTGAAATTAAATGTTTAACGATCAATTATCTAAGCTTATACATTATTTATATATTTTTATCAATAGCTTTCTTTAACTTTATTTTATGCTAATCTTATAAAGACCATCGATACTTGTATTACACAATTGTTTAAGTACACGATTGTACTTTTATGTCAATCAGTGACGAATTTATAAATAATTTATTATTAACGAATTATGTTATTCAGATTTTTTAAGGTTAGCATTTATTTGCAACATGCGCACGGTGAGACGATTTTCATAAAAATGAAATTCGAACGAATAAATTATTCGTTATTTTAATATATTATCTTTATCTTGATTAAATGAGAATATCGTTCAATGTAATATATTTCGGGTAATATTGTTAAAAATGTATTACATTAAGAAAGAAAATTTTTATCACCAAATTTCGGAAGTTTCTGTTCAATTGGATTTATATTAAATTATAAAATGAGATTAGAATGGATATTTTTTGCATAATTTATTTTAAAATATAAGAGTTTAATTTCCTACTTATCATTTATTAGACAAGAAAAATGATAATTCTTTCAAAATCGTTGAACAAAAATAAAAATAATTTAAATTTTTATCGATTGCTTTCGTAATATTTTATTTAATATTGTGCTTGTTTTGTTAATACTTTTGTTTCGAATAATATGAAAATAAGATTTGCCCTAAATTCATTTTGTACAAACCCGTTTAATAAGGAGTATGTGTTTAGTATTAGAATAATGAGTTTATAAGTAACGAAAAAAAAAGGAAGAAAAAAAAATGCAAAAGAAAAACAAGAAAAATGAAAATTAATACAATCGAAAGCTTTATGTCGAAAAAAAACAAATTGAAAATTAAAAGTACTTTAATAAAAAAAAGTATTTTTTTAGTTATAAGTGCATAATAGTTAATGGATTAGAATACATAGATTTTAATTCTCATATCGATACTTCCATTACAATGGGATTAGCTCAATTATCATTTTCTTCTATCCGAAGTATCGTAATGAATTTTATTTACGGGATTATCGGCGTATCAATACTTCATTGTGAATGTTGTGAGAACAGAAACTTTCAACATTGCTCGATTCTCATAATGTCAAGATTTTCAAAAAGATACTTTAATTTGAAAAGCAATCGGCATATTTTTTTTATGCCCCTTCGTACCTCGAAGCGATAATTTTAAGCGATAATTTTAAGCGATAATTTTAAGCGATAATTTTTATGGATAAATATAGCTCATTTTCGATAAATAGCTCATATTCGTTGATAAAATAAAAATATACAACTACCACATCTAAAGATATTATGTAATTCATATATTTAAGGAATGTGAATTGTAAATGCGCAAAAAAATCGACGCCCCTAATAAAAAAAAAATTGTAATAAAGAATTATTCTTTTTAGAAGCGTCTTTTAAGAAAGCTCATATTAAATATTATTAGTGGATCGGATAAGATGACGATATAAAGGGAAGTTCGCGCGTGTCTATTCCCATGTAGGATATTCAAAGGGTGCTCAAGCTCGGGGACATCCTGCTCTACAAATAATATTACTTCCTGTCTTTTACAAAAAACTGACCAAAGCTATAAAGTCACTTGGCAATATTTTTGAGAGCTTTTCCATTAAAAATACATTATCTATTTATGTATTTACAAAGTATCTTGCTTAAATCGATCGATTTCCGCAATGTTATTTTCAACGCTGTGATAAATGTCCTTGCGCCTACATTACATTGACAAATACAAAAAGCCCATGAGATAAAAGCATAAGGAGAAGAAAGAAGCGTGGCTCGTATAGAAATAAGCTCGAATTTCTTTGAATGAAAAAGCGCTCGTTGTTACGGCTTATCCGCCCACGCGTTTCAATCTCACGAGGCGCGATATCGTGTATAAAAAATAACAAGAATTTCACACCCGCGAGATCGGGAAATAAATCTAGGCAAGTATCATCGTAAATCATAAGCCGCGTGAAAATATAACGCGCCAAGTTGTACGAATCGCCATCGTGGAGTCCTATAATCGGCCTGTGCCATCGCCGAAGCCGGTCTCGAGTCATGAGTTTTGCACGAGGAAAAGGACAGGGCTCCAGTGGAGAAAGTACGCGGACTCGAAATAAGTATGTCATTATATGTACACGGCAGCATTGCAGGAGACGCGAATGGAGCAAATAGTCCTGGACATGGGCGTGCGCTTGGCCGCCCGCCATCCACCCTAAGGTGGATTATCGATGAGACGCCGAGCCCATCGGTGGGTCTTGCCACTTGAACTCCTCCTGGTAAGTGACGTAGACCATCCAGTAGCAGACGATGAGGATCGTGAAGGAGGCAGGAAAGACGATTCGCGCCACTATGTCGATGTGGGAGACGCTGTTTATGTATCGCTCGACTCTCTCTCCCTGCTTCCGACACCCATCCGCGGCTTCCATCTGGCGCCGCTTCCTGGACCAAAATCGCTACCGTTACTCCGCACCAGGCTCACGGCCTTCGGGATTTTAATACGGGAATGTGAATCGTCGGGATCGATTCCATCAGCTCTAGATGCCCGGCTAATCGCTCACGCATAAATGCTATCTCCCATTGTTTATTAACTCGTGGCCATTTCCTACACATTCTTAACTACACGCTCGTTTTCATATTTATACTTCACTTTTCCTTTCTCTCTTATTTTATTACTTCATTTATGATTTTGTTATTTGTTTCTTATTTGGCTGTTGTTTTCTTTTCTTTTCTCCCTCTCTCCCTCTCTCTCTCTCTCTCTCTCTCTCTCTCTTTGTTTTTTTGTTTTGTAAATATGTGCTTGCGTTCGACTAAAAACACTCTATCCTTCTCCGACAATGATAAACGATAAACATCGCTTATATTCATAAACTGACAAACTTGAAGAAATGCTGTATTGTTTGCTCGCCGGAGATACATGAATTGACATTCTTGGTCAATAACTTTTATATCTTTAGCGCGCCGTTCAGTGCTCGGCGCAAAGAAAGAAAAAAAAAAGAAAAAAAAACCAGAAGGAAATAAAAACGAAAACCAAAAAGAAAATAGAAAAAAAAAAAAATTATGAAAAAACAAACAAATAGATACGAGATACGAGAACTCGCTCCGGAGATGTTCTAAGCTTCCTATTTATATCGGTATTATACGTATTTACGATGTTATTCCATTTTTTGTATGACTGCAATACAAATAAATACTCGAAATATTGAACGAATGAGCGAGTATTTTGAAAAAATCTTTGTATAGAATCGTCAATAGTATGACATTAACAGCTCAATTTTCTTCTCCAGTCATCTATTTATTTCTTAATATATTACAGACATTTTAAGGTAGATTTTTGTTATACACAAATCTTAAAAATTAATTTCATGTTTCACAGCTCAAACAATGTGCCTCGATTTAGTAAAAAGTCATCTAGCCATTTTTAACGCGTTAGACATTATTATTTGACGTGTATTCATTACCGTCTATGTTAGTATTACTGTATGCAGCTAAGTATTTGTATAAAAAATTTAAATCATAAAATACCTGATGGATTGATTGATTAATACAATAGTACTCAATTTGTAAATTAAGTATACCAATAATTTGTAAATAAGAGTAAAATTATTATCTTAAATTTATTGTGGTTGTAAAAAAATTTTATTTTTATCATAATGCTTTTTGAAAACTCTGGCAGACTACGGAAGAATTACATATGAAAAATAATACTTATCTTTATCATATATTACTCATTTATTAAGTGAATTGAAATAGATTTATTTAATAAATGACTCAGCACGGCGCCGTAAACACGAGATAGAAGTTCATGAAATATTGAATTATATGTTTTCAGTGTATAATTGCATTTTATAACGTGATTTACTAATTCAAAAATTTTTTTTTTTTTTTTTTTTTTTTTTTTTTTTTTTAACTACAATATTTATTACAGTTCAGTTAACGTTTTTACTTATTAAATTTATTTTAACAAATAGCGCAAAAATATATGAATTATTTTAAAGCTGCTAAGAAATGATTTCAAGGTGATTCTTGCCACCGTGCAGTTTCCCATAAAATTTTACGGATTCGAAAAAAGTTAATAATATTACTTATTTCGTTAGTTTTTAAATTCTCAACAGTCGTATGTGTGCGTGCGCGTGTGTGCGCTTGTTATGTATTATCTACAATTTTTTAAATCCACATAATCTTAACGCTGTTTTAAATAGAATTAATGAACAACAGTACTAAAATATCTATATAATTTTTGAATCTTGAAAATAATCTATAAATTATATTGACATTAATTGATATTTTTTAAAAAGTGGCTTTGAACATTGCTTTTCTAGTTTATTATTACTCGTTATTCGTTACGTCTACAATCATACATATTCAAATATTTATAACACTTTTTTATTAATAAAAACAACAATAGCAACAACAACCACAACAACAGTAACAAAAATGAAATAAAATTTCTTGGCTTCATAAACGCCATGTCTCTATATAAAATTTGGTTGTAGAGTTTTTAAATGGATTTTCAGCGACGATGTAGTTTGATTGATGAGTTATTCAACTCATTGAAGATTTTGTTGTTAAATTTGGAAGAATTTGGGATAATATTGTTATTTAAATGTCATAATATGGCGTGATGTTTTATCAACGATCGTAACATTTTTCATAAATTAAATAATTTTTTAAGTCGAGAATATTTGACTAATCCGTAAGGATATTTGTCAATCGTATTCTACAACAAGTTCTGGTTCCTCATTTTTCATAATTAATTTAATTAACCATTATATATTTATCCAAGAGAATTTCAAGAATTTTTTTTTGATTGCACGATTTATTTATTGCACGATTGCAAGAGCCACGTATTCTATAATCCGTGTATACGCGTACTTTCACAAAATGTCCCCCAAATAATCCTATTAAAGCATCATATATCCAACGTATGAACTATTTATTGCTTTCTGTATTTATTTTATTATCGCTGTCGTCGTGTCGTGTCCACCGCCAGTCATTACAAGCGCTATTACAAAACGTTTTACAACATTATTATCGATCTGTGCACGCGAGTATTCGTCGGCCACGAGCTGCAAAAAGCCATCGGATAATGAAATACTCACTCGTATGGAAATTACAAACCTGAATGCCATGTCGCCCATCAGGCAATAGAGAAATTGTCGCCATTTTGGTAGCCAAACCTCCGTCTGCGTCTGCCTCTCCATTGTCGATGGTTTGCTACTTACGGTGATGGTTATCGAACGTCGTGGCTCTGGCAGACTGTATACTTGATCCTGACAGATTCACACAATCAACATTTTTCGCCATCTTTTACCATTAGCGGGTATTTGTAATTTATAGACAGATTTTTATCAACAATTACAATACCATTTTTAGCGTGGAAAAGTAATGCTACAGACTTATATACGTTTTCATCTTTTATTCGTGTCGTTTTAATAACTTAAGCATAATAAAGCTAAGATCGGGGAATAATGCCGCCAAGTGCGTGTCGCGGTGGTCTCATTTATCTGGGTAATAAGAAACTCATCGATTCGCGCGAGTCTTGCGCAATATATTACATTACGTCGACAAAAACTCGACGAGGCTCAATTTATTCGCTGTCGTCGTCGCGGACCAGCCAGTGAGCCAAGCTTCCGTCGACAAACTACGAGTTTTAATCAACGACGAGTAAACAAAAGCAACTTGCAGTTATCAGGGAGATGAGACATCGGAGAGAAAAGAGCAAACGTCGTTTCCTCGCCTCGTTTAACCGGGCGAGTGTGTTACCCGTGAGAGAAATAGCCGAGCGCTCCGGGGGATTTAATTGACCGGTTTATCATATTTCGTTGCCGATACATTAACCATCAAGGACGAGAAGCGGACGATAAGCGTACTCGCCGTGGTCCTGAGCGCGTCTACTTTATTTATTGATTATTTTGAAGAATCATTGAAGGCGATGTGCGAATTGCAGGAACAAACACGCATTATGGGGTAAGCTCTTTACTACTACTACTACTACTACTACTACTACTACTACTACTACTACTACTTGACAAATTGAAGTATTGCTCTTTCATGCGTGTAATAGAAGTATTTACTATATATTTGAATAAATCTTCCTGCGCCGAAATAAATACCATTTTATGAATAATGATCATATATTTTATTATAATTTTTTTATTTCTCTTTATTTCTTTTTAATTGTTTTGTTATTTTGATATATCAGTTTATTAATATGGAAAAATAAACAACATCGATTTTTTCATTATTTGTGCTATTATTAAAATTGAAACCATAGGACGTCAAGAGTGACAACATTCATTAATATTGTAACACACATTTACAATAATAACGAATTCGTCACAATTAGCATTTTGTCGAACTACGTAATTGGTTAAAAGACATATTGGAGTATTGTAGATAAATAGAGGGACAATAGTTAATATAAGAAAATCAATGTTTACAGTACGCTGTTACGTTGCTTTTTTCTTATATTTCGTGCAATTTTTGAAGCGATATCGATGATAGAAAGTTGTGGAGCTAATAAAGAGCGATGCCAGTGCGATGAAATAGATCAAGATCTAAGAGCAATGGGCAATGGGATAGATGGATAGAGATAGATAGTTAGAGAGAGAGAGAGAGAGAGAGAGAGAGAGAGAGAGAGAGAGAGAGAGAGAGAGAGACAGATGGCTCACATTGTAAAGGGCGCAAAAGAGGGAAGGACTGCGTCGTCTGGAGGTGGCGCTCGTTGTAACATCGACTGCCCCGCTGCCGTTGGCCGGTTGCATCACCTGCTGGGGACAGGTGGCCGCGGGCTCGCCGATCGTGCGGAAATCGTCTTTCTCGAGCTCCTCCGGCACGTCTTGTCCGACGTCCTCCCACTCGCTCTCCTTGTCCTCCTCTACCTCCTCTTCGATGAACCCCTCGTCGAGTGGAAACTCGCCGCTGCCGACCTACGCTTAGCCCCAAGCTTTTCTGTAATGCATTAACCCGCTCCCCTCTCGCTCTGCCTCTCTTATCTTATAATTTTCCCGCCACCGCCACCGTCGCCGCTCTGGCTCATCAACGAACATCCTCGGAGTCCTCCCGTGGCTAAAATGAGCCGAGAGCCGGGCAATTTTTTTCATCACGGACTGTCAATTGTGCCACGAATTGCAGAATGTCCGATGGCGTAAAAGGAGCAACTTCCGCTTCGTGACATTAATTGGATCGACCCTTATCGATTACTGACGATCCTATTTCCATTTTAAGTTGGATTCCCCCTCTCCTCTTTATTTTTTCTTTTCATTTCATTTGACCTACTTTGCGCATTTGCAGCCTGGAAGGTTATTTATTCTGGGCCGAGGGAAGGGATGGATTCGTTAAGCGACGTCCTTTCGAATAATATATGATTTAATTGGAAAATGGTAGAGTGAAAGATACTTTAGACAATCTTTAAGTGTTTTAAAATGCAACCAAGTAACTTAAAGTGTTTCAAAGTTTCTCGTCTGACATGCGAAGTACAAGTTGGACAAGTAGACTGGACAAGTTGCATCGAGTAATCAAGCGACGCCAACTACTTTGAGCAATTTTAATCCATTTAATTATTCCCGTAATTTTTTTCTTCTCAGTATTAGGATGAAGTATCACTTTTTTTTTCTCTCTCTCTCTCTCTCAAAACATAACCAATGTTTCGTTAATGTTTCATTGTTGAATATGGATGTTTTGTTCGCAATATTCACGTAACTTTTCTTCGTGCTATTAAATGAAGTTATTTTTTTGCCTATAAAGCGTACCGTCAATCATAATATAAGAAATGTGATTTTTAATAAAAAAATTTTGTTATTTAGGATGATGTAGCGAATAATGTTGGAAAATTTAGTGAAAATCAGTCGTTGTATATCGTGCTTTAAGATTTCTTTTTTATTTGAATTGCTTTTATTTAAATACTTTCATTTATATGGAATATAACAACTATTTTCTATGTAAATTGTATTGTGAATTTTCTTTCTTTGAAAAATACAAATGGAATTAACCTATCGGTAATTAAAAATGGAATATTTAAGGATAAAGTATAAATGTTGTTATGAAAAACAGAAAAAGATTTTTTCACTTTTCGTAGAATAATAGCTGCCCAGCTGTACGATTATTGAACTGTTGAAATGTCTTTAATGCAGTTTTTAAAAACTTGTAAATAAATATAACGGTATTCTGAAAAGTGATTTTAAATTTTGTGTCCTTCTCTGATAATTCACAGTTACAAATTGACCTGGCAGTAGATCCTATTGAAATTTCGGCTCGTCAAATAAAATCCAATTTGCTTAGCGTGGTTTATTTGGTATTTAAGTTAATCTAGAACCTTCATTTTGAGCATTTTAGTTTATATTGTAAGGCTTTTTCAATCTATTGGAATATTTTAAATATCGCGAGTATTATTTCTAAATTACTGTTGTTTTTTTTTCTTTTCTTTTTTCCCTAAAGTACTGTATAAGATAAATTGCAAAAATCATATTACTAAGCTATTAGTAAATAATTTATTTACCTATTACTAAATAATTCCACAAAATCATCACTGCACCCACGCGCGCGCGCGCGCGCACACACACACACACATATATATATGTTGTCGAGAAATCTAGCCTAATCTTTCAATGCTTTTTAAATATTGATTACATGTGGATGTATGTCAACATTATAAATTTGCGAGACAAAAATGTTTATATGTATGACACGAGTCACGGGTCCTTTAATCATTTATAAACTATATTCAATCGTAAAAATTGAATTCACCCAAACTGCGTAAAAATTCATTAAAAAAAAAAAAAAAAAAAAAAAAAAAAAAAAAAAAAAAAATCATTAAATTATAACCACAATCCTGTAAAATTATGTAAAACAACTAGAAACCCTTTTTTTTTCTTATTATAGATAACCGTTGGCGTAAATGAATCTTTAATTGTATCTTACGACAATTGTAATTTATAACGGTAAAATGTCCAAACTTTCAAGTGGGCGTGCAAATTTCAGTTAACGAAGAGTATCGGCCATATTTTCGAGTGGCTATTGTTGATGTAATGACAGTGCAGGCCGAGCACAGTCCTATAAGATCATTAATTTAAGAAGTCGGGAAGCCAGAGGTAAAACGAGGGTCCGAGCTGAGGTGCGCGTGGTTGTTACCTTAGTGAAGTAATGCACGCCGGCGAATTCCAAAAGGGTGGCGATACAGTAGCCGAAGCTCATAAGGAGAAACCAATCCAAAGCCGTGGCGTACTTGACTTTGGGAAGGTCTTTCCTCGAATCCAAGTTAATTGTCGAGAGCGTGAGGACGGTGGTGATTCCTGGAATTTGCATCGGCCAAGAACTATCAGTAAGTACAATGTCGGGTTATTGTGTTCGAGGTTGCGGGGGCTCGTTTACCTAAGCCGACGCGATCGCTCGTAGCCTCGCGATGAATCCAAAATGATACCCAGCTGAGCACCACTATCAGGACACACGGGACGTACACCTTGGAGCATAGAAACGTGTACTTTGCGAACTTTCGACTCATCTCGTTAGGGGATCCTTAGGTAAGCGCGAAGAATGTGTGACGAATACTGCGACGGATTTTTCTTTCTTTCTTTTTTTTTTAATTATTATTAGACATGAAGCTATGAGAAGCCATGTATTTTCAGTATTTATCTATTTGCTATGTTTAATGGACTTATTTAATAAGAAACAAGAAATTTACGAGCCGGTAAAAAAATATATTAAATGTAATTAAAGTCTTGAAACTTGGCTCATAAGCTTCGGTATGTGCTAAAGGACAAAGTAAAAGTTAACATATTTTGCGAAATATTCCGACTTTTCGTTGCAAATATCAATATTGCCGGTGATATTGCAAGAGCCAATGGGCTTCTCAGTTTATGAGATAGTCAATTTAATTAGCATTAAAATTATCATCGGCAGTAAAAATCTTTTGATGTTTAAAAGTTACAAGTGCAATCCATCATATATCTTACGCGTATACATCGCTCGCATTTACCTTAGGTATTGCAATTGGTAAAGCTACTTAAAATAATAATTTAATAACTTAAAATATACTTGGCAATATGCATCTTCGCGCGAGAATTTATTTCCTATATCGTATTGATGCAGCAACAATTTTCTAAAATTTCTCCATAAAATTGTAAAATCTATTCCAACTGTTAAAATAGTAAACTTAAAAAAAAAAGAAAAAAAAAATTAATAAATGTACGCGTTTTAAGTAAGCAATTTGAAAAAATATTTGCAAGAATAAAGCATTAAATAGCACGGATTTATTGCGCAAGGCTCTTTCGAACGTGGCAATGTAACGCGTAAATGAAAAAAAATCTCGAGTTTCACCGTTATTTTAGTCGACGAATCAATGCTCGGAAAACAGAAAGTTTTTCATTGTGATGCTGGCGGAATTTGAAAAAAAAAAGAAAGAGATTAGATAATCGAAGCTCTGTTGGGTGAAAGGCAAACGTCTGTATAATGTAACGAACAGATTGGGTGTTCACCCAACTTTCGTCCTAGCGTTTACTTGAATCAAGAAGTATCCGGTGTGTCGCTGCAAATTGAAGGACACTTGGAGCACCGAGAATTCGCCCTCGCGCCTTACGAAGGTGAGGTTCCGATAAGGATATCCCATGAGGTCGAACTGAGACAGCGCCATGCCCGGCACGAAGTTGACGCTCGAGTTGTCCTGCCACTCGTATACCAACTGGCCGGAAGTGTAGGCGTCTGAAAATGCGGAACGAAAGCTCTTTTATAATCGCTTTCGAACGAAATTGCCAGTTTTGCACTCGCGTTTACTTAAGCTTAGTATTATTAAGTTTTCGGATTATTATGGATTCGCTCGCTCATTGTTTAAATTGGGGTAAAGCTTTGTTCACATGCTCCTACGAGCACCAACGCGAGGGTAAATTTTGTCTCGAGTTACCTCTATGTCATTGTGGTCGTGCGAGTCATGACATAATAATATCCGAGTAGATAATGAGAGAGAGAGAGAGAGAGAGAGAGAAACGTGTGCGTGTTAATAGCGGCTTTAAATAGTATCAAATTGGTTCAAATAGGTGGAAACAGGTTGAACACAACTTTTTAATTCGTGGTAATTTGTTATCATTCAACTCGTTGTGGTTGGGCTTTTTTTTCACTCTTAATATATCTTTAAATAAATTCGAATACCAAATTCCGTTAAAACAGTTGTATTTACTTCCAATCACTTCTTTCCTGTTTGATGGTAAGTGCTCTCTTAAATCCCTGCTCTTGTACATAATTAATAAACTTCAAAAGTAAATATATAACATTGCCGTTCAACTTTTTACTGCGAATCGTGTAAATTACCAATATCTTTAACATTTAATGATCTTTAAATCTTAACATACTTTTCAAAACTACAGACGACGCATTTATATACAACGAGCAATACTTACTTTACAATTTTGCTAATCATTAGTTTGTATTTTTTTGTTAACAATTAAATTGTCAAACTTTGTTGGATAGATGCGCAAATCTCGATTTAAAATTATATCGAATATGTCGTAGCAATTTATTTAATTATAACTTATGAATTGATAAATTGTATAGAAAATGCCAGGCCATTACTTATAAAGTGACGTAAAATATAAAATTACGTGTTGTTGAAAATTTGCAAAAAAAAAACAAAAAAATAATATTTTAGGTACCATAAAAATTATATTTAATAATGAAAGAAAATTCATCCATATATATATATATATATATATATATATATATAGATATTTGACGTATACATTGGATTGGCATATATGTATGGTAGGAACAATAAACTTTTCGATTTATATCAAATAGTTGTTTTATTTGTAAAATTATATCATAATAAAAAATACGGCATAAAATTACCAATAATTTGTTTCTATTGAATTTTAAATTTATATATATTTTCGTGTAAGCCAATCCTTTGCAAGACAGTCGATAATTAATAATAAATACTCGCAACTACAATTTTTTTCTCAACGCTGACATCTCCAAGAACGACTAAACAATCCGAAATTTGGCGCAATGTTTTTTTTTTCTTTTAGAATTTTTCAGCTTAGATTCAGCAATCTAAGCATTGTAAATTTCATAAAAATTTAATAGGACAATTGAAATTTATAGTCAAATGTAATTTCACATACTAGTCGGTTTATTAATACTATTTCGTTTCAGTTCATTCGTAGGCTGTGTACTTTAAATTATCCAGTATGTGAAAGTAAGTTTTGAAGACGGGAAATCCAACGAAGTCCTCAACGATCTTTTTTGAAAACATTCGCTCGCGCAGAAGAACAGTTCCAAAGCGCGTCAATTACTTTCCTTGGCTTATGCATTGTTGTAAATTTTAGCCAAATTTTCAGCCAAAAAGCCAATGTCACCAGATAGATTATTATTATAACAATATACTTGATAATTATTTATCTATTTGGTTATATGTAGAATGGAAAATTGTGAAAGGGGAGGGATTAAGTTTGCGCGGGTGCTGCGTCAAGCTACGACGGATCGTCCCATCCCTTGTAAAAGGAAGAAAAGGAAGGGCAAATAATTTGAGACTCGTTGATATCTATACGTTGCCTTAAGAAAGAGGAACTTTGATGTCGAGGGTGGGCCCTTCGCAGCGACCGAGGGAAGCCGTTAGTCAACTTAACGGCGTTGATGTCGAGATATCCCTGGACAACTTATATTCCTTTTTCTGGCACTGTACTTATTCCGCGTCTGGCCCGGCCCCTCGCCTCACGAGTCCCGCAGTCACCCACCCCGACCGACCCATGAGGCGCGTACCGTGGGGAAAAGCCTTTCAGCCGAGCGAATTCCTCGGAAAGGCCGTAGAAGCTCAAGGTGAAGGAGACATAAAGGCACGGGAGTCGGAATATCTTTGGCGCGCGTCAAATTCTTCATCCTTGTGCGCCGTGGAGTGTCGTGGGCTCGACAAGGCAGCGGAGTTTCATCGACGAAGGGGCGAAGGAGCGAGGGCCGTTGATTATTCAATTACGTCACTTGGATAGACCATTGTTGTTGTTCCGGTTGGAGAAGTGGTTTGTCGCGTGGTTCGATTAGCTGTCACCACTCGCTCTGGCTTGAGTTGGCTATCCTGACAAAGCTGAATAGCGGGGATCGTCGACTCCATCGGCAGCCTTCTACACGCGATTGATTAAGCGTCGTCGAGAGTTCGCGTACTCTTGCAGGTGTATTGTAGAGCTATTTGGCATCCGGGTCGATCATTATCTATTATACTTGGATTATTATTTCGAAATACGTAATTTGGAAAATTGTTCGTATGAACCGGTAGGTGACCGGATCCCGTTAGCCACGATTCGTGTCTTTGAGCCATTTGAAAAGTGCGGTCCTCGTTCTACTAATAATCGATTCTCTCATTTTAAGTCGATGGGCCTAGAATATGGATAGTTCGTCGAGAGAAGGAGAGGCAGTAGGGTGGGTTTGAGGACAGTTTATGAGGTTGAAAATAATTTGGTTCGATTTGAAGAAACCGGAGTCGTTTCTTGAGTGTCCGCTCACGAGGACCGATGGTATCTTCTATTATTCAGCTTTCAGTGCCTTCCTCTAATCTCGAAATACCAACTATTCTTAAGAGGAAACTTTGTGGATGGTAAGAATGTCGGGGAGAGGCTGTAAATGCACGTGACAAAGGCAAGATAAATGTGCGTCAGCACTGCCTGTCCTCGGTGTACACTCGAATATTATTTGTATTATTAGACGAGAATTTATGCACTCGTAACGATTACAACTGTATATAATTTATAAAAGTAACTATAAAACTCTATTCAAGTGGAATTAGTAATTAGTGTTTTAACGAGTGTTTGATTTTTTTTTTTAAACCAGTTCCATTTCCTAATAATATTGGTTCATAACAATTTTTTATTATATGACTCCACAATATCGCACGTAAGTTCCGTGCACTATTTTATACATAACTATCTCTCTCACTTACTCTCTCTATACCCTCGCGCGCGCGCGCGCGCGCGCACACACACACACACACACACACACACATTAAATTACGTTTTTATATATGTAATATTTCAAAAGTTTTAACACTTAACAGGTTATGTATTAACGCAAATTGCTATTCAATCTAATTTATAATAATAAAATTTTGCCAAACGTAGTAGCTGCATTAATTTTAATAATTAATACTTAACATTTTATTACTTAATAATCGACGACGAAAAGATTCTATAAATATTATTATGATGCACATATTAAAAATATATTCACTCTTTCATCCAATAGTCTAAATGATTGTTTTAAAAGTTTGATGTATGCAAGTTCAAACGATTATAAGAAATTGTGAAATGAATTAGTAAAGTTAAAAATAACAATAATATGGACCAAGTGAAAAACCGGATGACATAGCCGATACAGTAGGGACGGAAACTTTAAAAGGTGTGCGTGTGTGTGAGTGTGTAAGGGATAACTTTTCGCGCGTAAGTAGATACGAGTCTCGGAGATTTCCTTTAATATAGATAAGAACGAAGCGAAGGTACGGAAAGGTAAGATGAGACGGGATCTGATGATGTATGAAGGGGAACAAAGTTTATTCAGGCCGAAACTTTACTAGTTTCAAGACATCGCGTGTATGTTTAACTTGTATTCCCGTATGCACTCCTGAAACGAAAATAGATTACTAAGGTAATCCAAGATGCAATGGAATATATCGTATTTGGAAAAGTATATGATTTTATGTCTACTACAGCTCACTAACACTGATCAACATAGGCTGGGATTTTATATTTTTTTGTTTTTTTGTTTTGTTTTTTTTTTTCGATTTCACTCTAAGGCTATTTGTTTTATCAGATACTTCAATGAATTCTTATATGGCTGTGATCGCGAAAAAGTAGAGCGGAAAAATTGTAAAAAGTTAAAGTCCTTTTGTAACTAGCAAATTCGTTATATTGCAAAAAAAACTATTAAAATAAATAAGAGCGCCGTTCGAACTTTTAGAAGTTTTTAAATAGCATATTAATTTAAAGAGTTAAATGATCCTTAAAGGTTTTATCAAGACGTTTTAATTATTATTGCAAATATAGTAAAAGTATTGGACAAAACATTTTGCCGGTTAATAATTTTTTTTTTTTTTTTTTTTTTTATAATCTTTTTATGTTCTTTTCCATATTTTTAAGCTCCATAAAATTAATAAAGCAATATAGTTCTTATAGTTTTTTTATTTGTGAATGTATTTATTTCTAATTTTGGACATCCTTAATTCACATCTTAACTGCATATATCATAATTTTGCATTGATTTTATAAAATATTAATGGCTTGTTTTCACATTGTAGAAAAAAAATTTGTTTTTCCGAGCGTTAATAAAATATATTATTAATAAAAATGCCCAAAGCATAATACTTATGCATACATACATATAGCACCTAATAAAGGATTTATTTATTTTGAATTATTAATACGTAGGTCATTTTATGTATTATGTTCGTTGTATGCTAAGTGTAAGAAACATCCAAATTTATAATCGAGCATAAATATCATATAAATTTAATGAAGGATTTATAATATATTATTTTTAATGATTTACGTAATAAATATGTGAATGATTTTTGTGTGATATTGCTTTTATTGCTAATATTACGGACTGGCATTAGCGCGGTAAAAGAATTCGGTAGAATCGTAAAATTAATTGGTATATGAAGAAAGTAGAATTAATTGACTGTATTACTTGAGAATGGAATTATACGCACTTAGAGCTTAATATAATTCTATAAATTTGATCGATTAATTCCTTTCACTTAATGAATTTTCAAAATATGCTATCAACGAAGAATGGTTCGAGTCAGTGAATTATATAAAATTTTATGATTATATTAAAATAATCGTAATTAAAATAATTAAAATAATCATTTATGCGACTCCTGAGTACATATGTATTTCAATTTTTTATGCAAAATAAGCAAAAATTTTTTTATTGTTTATTGTGCATAAAATTATTTAGACATTAAGAATATTATTTTTTTTTTCCATTCTAATTAATAGATATATAATAGACTATATAATAAAAGATTGTCTACATTGGCATTTTGCTTTTCAACGAATCATCTTTCTATTTATCTTCTATTTAGATGGCAATTAACTGACTTTAAAACTTTCTTAATTATAAATAAAATTTGATGGAATTCTTTTCAAAGAAGTTTGATTTTAAACTTGTGAAATATCAAGGGACTGGTTTTGCAAGCGTAAATCCAACTAACAGTAACTTTTAATTAGAATCCTCATTATACTTGGCTGTCGTATCAGACTATTTACAAATATCATATAAACTATGTGTTATACGTATACATAAAGCAATAATTAAGGTAAAAGGGATAAGATGAAAGAATAATCGTTATACGAAGAAAAGTATAAAATGGCATGCGCGTTATCATTTGCGTCTGTCTCTACTTAAATTCTGAGGAATTATCAATAAAATTTCAATTCAACTACCTAGCGATATATCGTAATAAATATTTCAAGACAAAAGACACGGATGTGCTACGTTTAGCATCAGATCGACGGTACGTAAAAAAAAGAAGGAAAAAAGATATACCGAAGATTTTTTTTTTTTAAATTAACGACACTTAATTTTTTGAAGCACGTAGTATACTTCTGTCTATTTTTTATTATTTCTCTCTCTCTCTCTCTCTCTCTCTCTCTCTCTATATATATATATATATATATATATATATATACATCTGATTCCGCCTTCTCGGCCGTCTCTTTTAAAATAATTTTATAGTGAACTCACAGCTTCCGAGAATCAGGGGGCAAGACTGTCGGTCCATCGGGAAATTCCTCAGATCCATCGTACACTTCGCCTTGATGGTCAGTCTGCGTGTCATCGAGACGTTCCTCTTGAAAAATGGACTCAAGCATTGCCAACACGAATATACGCGTGACAAAAGGATTTGGGTGAGGGGGAGAAAAAAAAAAAAGAATCAGAAGAAAAGACAAAATAAGAAAACGCAGCTGTGAATAATGATAAAAAGTTCGAGCGCATTTTCTCTTGAGCTATATTTGAATTTAATTAATAATACAATGAAGAATGAAACTTTATTTATTCTCAAGTGCACAGAATACTTGATTTTTCCCTTATAAATACATGCCATCATATTGCTTATTAAATCAAAATATTATTTGAATAGAATTTAAAAAAATTTAAGACTGCATTTTAATCGTTTTCAATTAAAATGAAATTTAAATTTTAAAGGATTGTATAACTACGAGTTGGATGAATGTAAGGGAGAATTTTAAAGCAAATACTATTTACTTGATTTAATTGATTTCTCACACGTTACCTCGCATATGTACTATTTGTGCACAATTTTTACTCGATCAACTTGAAATACGTTAGTGAAATATATTACAAATAGTAAAATGCTCAGCTAAATTACAAATATTTCGTTAAGTATTGACAGAGAAGGCCATTTACTCACAATAAACAAAACAAAAACAAAAACGAAAAAAATGTGTATATTATGTATGATAAACTTTTCGCTCATTTATCCTTCGTTTAATTTAATCTATTAGGCAAGCGATATAGAAGAGGTTCGAGAGGTTAAAGCAATCGAGATTATGCCACAGCGAATGGAAAAACAAACCTCATGGAGTAGAGAATATCGCCCTCTTGAGTTATCCTTAGTAATTTGTTGGGTACGGTGATGGTGTGCACGTAGCTGTGTTTCCCATTGTAAAAGTAAGTATCCGGTCGCCAAATCCTCTCGAGCATCTTGATGCTAAGGCTTAGTGACTTTATTGGGCCCAAGAAGCTGAGTCGAGAGTCGCGCCAGTATTGGCGAAAATAACAGTCCATTGAATAATCCTGCAGGAAAATTATGCTCTAGATTAGTAAGAAGACTCCCGTTTATATTAGAGGGGCTGGCTTATTCGTTTTTCTTTCTTACACGTTTTATAAGTCTTATCGTTATATTACCATTACATTATAATATTGAGGATTCTCTCAATCTCAATCTAATTGAAACTCGAAAGCTTTATTGCATAATTACCGGATTGATATGCAAGCGCAACACGAATGCCCTTATCTTATCATCTTGAATACGTGGGTATTGAATATAAAATAATCGAAAGTCTCATTATTTGTAACAGAGAGATATTTTTAAGCGTCGATATAATTATACCTGTTGGCTGTAAACTATTTACAGAATGAAAATTCGATTATATTTTAATGTCATTGCTGTCGTGACGCTTTCACGCTTAATACGATGAGAATCTATATTTTTCGGTATAATAGAAAGTTATTAAAATTCGCTTAATAGAACGATGGGATGTAAAATCGTTCCTTTAAATGCTTCGATATTGAAAAGATAATCGATAGTTTAGTCTTGATTTTAAGAGAAAGTGGACTTGGGTAGCTTTTGAGTGTGAGAATTAACAAAATTCAAAAGGCACTTTAAAAATATATTCGAAGGTAATTGCTATTATCGTTATTATTGTTATGTGAGTGATTTTATAAAAATGTTATTATCGTCCATTAGGCGATAAACGTAATTTCAATCGGTTGGCTAGTACGCTGAATATAAATTTTGAATATTTAAATAAAACAAATATCTTTTATACGGATTTATTAAGGTTTCGAATACGGCGATTCTATAAGATTCATGAAATATTAAGTTTATTTTGATGAACGATCAGCTAAAGCCATGTAACCCTTTGAAAATGTAATTTACTACGTGATAAATATTGCGAATGCAACGAGCCATTGTCGATCATGCTTCTCGTAAAATGTAAGCCGACGCCTTAAATATTAATAATAATTGATATATTCGCAACTTTAATGAAAATTTTAATTCAGCATCTCATAACAATAATTCCCTAATTAGATAATCACTTTCAGTGAAAAACTTTATAGAAGCGTAGCATTCGTTAAGCGCATAATACCCATAAAGTTGAGAGGAAAATCAAATGCAGCTGTCAAGGATAATAATGGGGCGAGTATCGAGACACGTGCCGAGCGTTACAATAATACCGCATAATGAAAAACTCCGCGTTGCCGATAAAGACTTTAGCGATAACTATTTAAGCGATAGAATTCCTCGTACGCGTAACAACCTTAAACTTGCATTTTTCGCCCTCAACTATTCAACAGTGGCGGTTGAGGGCGTTAATTTGCAAACCGCAACGCCCCTAATGTGGCGTAACCTCGGCAATGCTCGTGGGAATTCGCAGCAGCAGCAGCAGCAGCAGCAGCACCACCACCACCACCACCACCATCGTCACCCCCACAACCTCCTTCTTCTCCTTCATCCTCACACCGACCCTCCATTGTCAATGTACACGAGGATACGCCACTACTTGCCATCGATCTCTTTTCCACCCCCGCTCATACTCAATGTGCGGAGGAGCTTTCGACTGCTTTCGATAATTCTGACATCGGATGAATCCCGAATGGAATGCCGCTCGAGGTGATTTCATTTCACGCTCGGTGCGTGTCCTTCGTATTATGGCGATTAGTGCGTGGTCGACGCGATTTTACGTGGACAATAGGAAGCAACGAGCTTTTTCACTCCCTCCGAGCTTACTTTAAGTAAGTAAGCCCCTGCGCTTTTTGCCAACTCGTGGCTCAGCTCATTCTATCTTTTATTCTTCATTTCTTTTCGTCTTTGTTCGCTCTCGCTCTCTCATCAACCCACAGCCTACCTTCTCACAACATTTTACGCAAAACCTCGTGGAAATTGTCACGGAGCTAAATAGCAAAGAGCTTTGTTCCTCGGCTCTATCGATTGATCCGTATCTCTACTTCAAGGAATGTTGTAGAGAAAAAAATTATGAGACTTATAAGAGGAATATACTGACCATGTCGAGTTCCGATATGGGGCCCATACTGCGTATATAAATATTCGTCTTTACTACTGTAGGTATTCCTGCAAATCATTTATGAAAAAAATAATTATTAATTAACGCTTTAATAAACAATTGATAATTTCTTAATATTGTTAGTCGTTGAGTAGTATTTTAAAATGATACTATTCAGTTCATTGATTTTTTTATTTATTTAATTTTTTTAATTGTACTGCTTATAGTATTATCAAAAAAAAAAAGAAAAAAAAAAAAAGAACAGCCCAATAAATATCAAAATGCACAATACTTTTAATTAACAATCGTGAATATTATTCTTGTAATTACGATTAAAAGTATTTCTAATTATAATAATTAACCACCGAGAAACGGCCAAAATTTAATAGATTAAAAAACTCTCGGAATAATAATAATAATAATAATAATAATAATAATAATAATAATAATAATAATAATAATAATAATAATAATAATAATAATAATAATAATAATATTAAGTAGAAGAGGAAGAAGAAGAATCAAACGAGTAATAGTCGTGGCGGGGAGGGGGGCGGATAATTGTAAGCTGAAGTAGCAGAACGGATATGTGAAGGGAACGGAATGAGAAAGAAATAGAGGGCAAAAAATCAGGGAGAAAAATAGAGGAAAAAGGAGAGGGATAAAAGATGGTAAAAATGGAAAAGAGATCGAAGTAAATCGGGATGGTTGGGAATTTTACCGGACGGAGAATCGGCCTTTGTCATGGCACACGACTTGATTGCCAACGGTCTTGTGTATTTTTGCTTTTAAAGCGAGAAAACAATAAGGAAAACATTCGCTCGCGCATGTAGACTTTCTAGAGGGATGGATTTTTTGCTTTCCTCTTAAAAAATGGTCGTACGAACTTTTCTATTTGGCTTGAAAAAAGAGGCACTCAAACTTTTTAGTTTGACCATTTAGTAGTTTTACAAAGACTACTTTTTCTTTCGTAAAGTTACCTGTAATTTATAAAACTTCTGATAAAGCCGAATTTGATGTGCCTAAGCTTAAGAGCCTAACATATCTTGAATATGATTATTTCTACGTCATCAAATAATATAAAATCCACACCAATGTGTTTCATTGAGTAGTTTGATTTTTTTTTAATTTTTTTTTATTTTTTATTATTTATTTAAAGCGAATTGCAGATTTAATCAATCAAATGTTCTGATTTAATCAATTGTTGTAAACTCAAAATCAATTATGCCCTTTAATTTCTAATTAATCCTTTGAGTTATGACGTTCTGTTAGAGATAATTTGTTAACATGTACATATTTTGTTAAATCATTTAATGTAAATTAATAAATCTCTTGAAATAAATAATGTCTTGTTCCTAGAAATTTCAACTTTTACAAAGAACATAACAGTGTTTTATGAATATTGATGAAATTCAGAAATCGATAATCGGTGTTTAGGTATTTATAGATAATCGAGTATTTTTTTAAGAATAATTTAAGAATAATATCGGCCGTGAGCATAATCATCATTGTAAAACGAGTTGAAAATATTTGAAATGGCCGAGAAATAATTCTCAAAAATATAATTCGAAGCATCGCTTATCTAATAAATGAATAAAACCAATTGTAAGTCAATCGTTTGGTTTTGGTAATTGCTTTTTTTTTTTTTTTTTTTTTTTTTTAATAAGAGTTGAGCCTATTAATGAAAAAGATAATTCCGTGAGAATCAGTGAACAATAGAAATTCCATCGATTTTATCCTCAATTTTATTATCATCCAACGACTTTAATTATTATAAGCTTATAATTTCATTGTTTTGAAATACTTTTTATTTTCTCGGTATTATGATATATTGTAAAAATAATATACAATTCATTGCTTGCAATGACATTACGAAATTTTCAATACAAATGAAAAAAATTAACACTATTACATATATGATGTAAAAAAGAATATGGTGTCAAACAAAAGCAAAAACAAAAACAAAAAGAAAGAAAGTAAGAAAACTTTTATTTAACTTGTTTTCATTAATTTCTCACCATTATATAATAACAAATTATAAATACAATAACGAATGAAAATTATACTACAAACTAATATAATACAATATACTTTGTCTTATTACAATAAAATATATTAACAATAAATTACCGAATTTTTATCTATGCATATATAATTTCTTACACATTGTAAATAATATTAATATTATTTTATTGAAGATAAATATCTTAATATTAATCGAAAATTTAAATCAATTAATACTTACTATTTGACATTTAAAATGAAAATTTTAATAGAAAAACATTACATTACACAGGCGTTTTTATCACTTAATATATGACAATTGTCATATACTTGAATATAATATTTTATAAAAAATAATTCTCTGTAAGAAAATATTGTAATTGAAAGATAGAGAGGTTTACAATTTCACGTGTAATTATCTAAAAACGTAATATATTAAGAATTATATAATTTAATATGAGAAATAATTATCAGAAATAAATAAAGCGCAACTATTAATATCTATTAAATTATTTTTCATACAAGTTAATAGTATTTTGTACGCTTTCGTAGTTTGTAATTACTTAAAATTTATTAACGGCGGCTTCGAATGTCTTTTCAAATATTTCAAAACATTTTAAAAATACTTTTCAAGCTGTAGAAATCCCTGGACTGTTAATAATTGTAAAAGTTTGAAACCTTATTATCAATATCAAGAGGGTAACATTATTATATAGCTTAAGTATTTATTGATAAGTGAATTAATAAACGAAGAGCGGCAATGTTGAAGGCGCGTCGATAATGTGAAATATAAGAGCGTAAAGATAATTTTCTCATACCTTTTCCATGAGTGGGCAGTTGGCTGTTCTCGTAGTTCATAAGAAGATTCTCCAGCACCATCGTGATATTTCGCGAAACAATATCATTGACATTGATACGGGCGACTTTGCCAATTGCCGACGAAGATGCTCCACTAGCTGCCAGATTAAGGACGGCGCTTCGGTTGCTGCAGAGGCTCAACGGCATGAAGAGTGTCGCCATCAGTCTGCAAAAAAATTCCTCTTCTCATTGCTAGCAGTGTCTCTTTTCTTTGTGTCTACTCGTACTTGGTGAAACCGTTCGTTTAGTTTTCTGTTGGCCGCAGACCGAGGAAATTATAAAATTCGTATCATGAGGAATCAAAAGCTCAAAAAACTGATTCTTATCATAGGCATTCTCATCCTAGGCTTGCGAGAGTCGCGGGGCGATTTACTCAATGAATTAAGCGATCGACAAGTGAAAATGTCACTTCGGACATGATTGTTTGTTGTTGTTGTTGTTGTTGTTGTTGTTGTTGTTATAGTCAATCGATCGCACGGTTAATAATTACTTGGCTAATAATATCGCCAAAGCTTAAGAAAATAACAACCAATTACTCGTATTTTTTCGATAAAGTATTATGCGTTGACAATACTTTGATCGTTCAATCAATTTTTTGTTTTTATTTTGTTTTTTTTTTGTTTCGTACAGGAAGTTCCATTCGTTAGATTGAAATATTGTGACTTTTTATGTCACTGTATGTATGATTATGTATTTTAATTGCTTAATTCCCGTAAGTTCGTATTATTTATTTCACTTGGATTTTAAATGTAAAAGAATCGTTATAAAATATTTTTCTCTGTGTTTCATTTAATCGAGAAAATTTTTAAATATAAATTACTTAATCATATAATTGCAATCATATAATTATTATAAAGATGATTTAATTTTTTACATAGTTCTGTCCTTTATTAATAAAATTCTCGACATGTTTATTTATAATATCCCGTAACTATTAATATTATATAATTTTTTATCTTAAACATTTAAATCATTTAAATTGTGATTTAATACTATCGCTGTCCCGAATAAATTATTATGTTCATTGTCTCAGATTTTCTCTTATTTTTTTTTTTATTTTATTTTTTTTATTATATAACTTAGACGGCGTCTAAAGCTTCGTTAGTTTTTAATTTATTAACGCTTCTTTAAAGCTAGATTCTCTCATATCGAGTTCAGTAGCATGAATTATGTGGTACTCCCTTACACTTTGGTGCTCATCGGTATTAAATTATTTATTAGAATAGTCTTTTCATCCACTAAATAGGTGTCGACTTTTATTTCAAGTGTGTGTAAATTATCGCGTTTGGCTTGTAGTAAATTTAGCTGAGATTGTAAATCTTTGGTGATTAATTTTTGCTAGCGTAGGTGAAAACAATTACTTATCAATACAATCTAATAATTCTCTCTTTTCTCATTTTATTGCTCAAAAATTAATTTTGTTTACAATTTATTCATTAAAATTATTCCTCCTCTCATCTAAGTTTCAATGGCTTGGTAAATATAGACTGATTTTTCTACTTCCACTTACTCTACTAATCATTGGAAAAATGTCGACGAGGAAACGAAAATTTTTGAAATTCTACACGCTCGAAGGGAAATTCTTACATTATTATTATTAAGCATTTATCAATATTTCCGCTGTAGCCCATTATTATTAATGCTTAATTACGGTAATATTGAAGCAAAGAGACCGTAACGTATTCTGGTCTAATGTGCGTTAAAAAACTGTTCGCGTTCGTCGTGCCAGTTCGTGTTTCCCGAAGAAGTAATCTAGTAAACTTCAAACTTGGCACGAGTCTCGGATAAATACATTTGTTGACCAGAAATCGCCTTACAAGCTGATGCGTCCTTATAACCAAATATGATAAAAAAATTTTTCCATCCCATAAGTTATCCACAAAGACATCGATGTTTTCTTCGAAACATCAGTCTTTAGGGAATTACAGTCTGATTACTATGGCGGATACGGTGGCGGATACGGTGGCTTGCAATCCTGCGGTAAGGATCTTCTCGCACTTGGTCCCACATAGGCAGGTTGTAAGTCGTCGAAAAAGTCAACGCGCTTCATTTCTCGGTATCACCGTGGATCGGCGGTTGACAAAAGCGAAGGGCAGCAATGCAAATAAGAGGACGAGAACGAAGCCAGTGAGGTGGATGCCACTTACAACTCCAGGATCATCCGGCTCTCTGGGGTCCATTGTGTTAGCTACGCCAAAACATCTACGAGTCGTTGGGGCCAAATCTCGTGATCGGTCGCGTACGACCGCGACTACACCCCCCCCCCCTCCACTTCCCGGCCCCGTCCACACACCCCGAACAAATCCGGACAATCGATATGGCACACGCGGCCCTGGGGGCGAGGGGCCCGGAGACTCGGGCGGACCACGAGTGCACTCGAGTGCCAACGGGAGGCTGATGTCAGCGCGATGATGTTCTTCGAAAAAGAGCAGCGATTCTCGAGCGAAGGCTCGTCGTTAGGTCGTTGACACTTTTCGGTCCAATTGCTCGCGCGACCTATCAGCAAAGCGAAGCGAAAGCTCGACTTTTACGCTGACATTACAGTTTGTAACGACGTCGTATGCAGAAATTAGGTATTTTGTAATGGAACCTTCCTCGAGAGGAGAGTGACCGCTCGGGTGGACGAGCACGGTGATTTAAGATGACTTTTGAATGATGAAGCTGCTTTCTAAAGGGAATGGTGAAAGATGCAACGGTGAACGCGAGGGGAAAATCATTTTGAAAGTCTCGTGTAACGGTAAGAATTGCATAAGATCAGAATTTTGAACTTTCAAGATTTTCTCGAATTTAGAAATTGGGCTGAACATTAATTTTCTCCACGTTGCGTCATTCACCATGGACGTGTAATTACAAAGAAAAATTCAAATAAAATTACAAGGGAACGAAGATTATAAAATTGCCATATGAGAATGCTGATTTTTTAATTATAAATGAAAATTCGATAATGCGACGCTGAGAATTGGTAACTTTATAATTCTGTAAAATGAAAAAAGACGCAAATTTTTCGGAGCTCCGCAGAATAATTTCAGCCTTCATTTGAAAACCATATTTTGAAAGTTGAAGAGGGTAGCAAGTGTTGAGCAAAATGAATTTAGAGTTTTGTTTACATATGCATAGAATACGTGGATCGGTCCGACGATTCTGCCACGCCAAATTCCGAATTTTAAGAATGTTCATAGTTCATATAATCCCGTCCGTCAGTTTTATTCTCGAGGAAAATTTTAATCTCGATAAATATAACAAACAAGCCGAAATTATCTCTGCCATTGGGTAATAAAGGACGAATTTTTTTTTTTTTTTTTTTTTTTTTTTTTTTTTTTTTTTGAAAAATGTTGAAAAGATTGTACGACCCGTCGCATGACAATTATAATAAAAAAAAATGAAAACAATAATAATAATAATGATTGGATTTAACACTGATTTGACAAAGTATTTCCAAACTCTAATGATAATACTCTGCTAATAGTATTGTTCTGAAATATTTCTTTTTAAGAGAATTATTCTTGCCTTCTATCGTTATTCTGTAAATTAATTACAATACTCACGTTATAGTAAATAAAATTTACACAGCGTAATAAAGGACGAATTTTTTTTTTTTTTTTTTTTTTTTTTTTTTTTTTTTTTTTTTTTTTTTTTTTTTTTTTTGACTAATTATGACACTTGCACGTTTGCACATTATTCATATTTATTTTTATTTAAATATACGAATCTTATAGTCAAAGTGTGAGGTATAATTTCAATTTCATAACTAAAGTTGAAATTTCACTCTTTCAAAATTTCTACTTTCGCTCGCAAAAGCCTGATCATAAAATTTTAAAAGATTTTAAGAAAGCAGTGTAAAAGCAATAATTTTTCAAAAGAAAGTCTCTCCGCGCAATCCATTCATTATACAATAATTCCTATACAATATAATACAATCTCATATTCGAAAAAGAATAAAAGGCTGAAAGAAAGAATGAAATTGAAGAACGAAAGAAGTAAAAATTGTTAAGCTTAAAAATATATTTGACTCGTGTGCTAATTCCAAGGGTCATAAAAAAATAAAAATGAATCAATATTTATGATTCTTTAAATTTGATCAACATATATACGCCCAAGAGCTTTCAATAGCTTTTAGTCTACTTTCTAAAATTTATAGTACAATCTTTTGTCGCACTCATTTTACCTTTAAAGAGCTTTTTAGGCATTGATAATTTTTATGCGTTTCTTGCAAATGAATAAATCATAATAATTGCCATATTGTAAGATCAATATTTTAAATAGAATAAATTTCATCGAAAACGTATTTTTTTCATTCCAAATTGGATTTAATAATAATTTTATAGCTTTATCACGGCTATTAATAGGTTATTTATTTAATAATGCAAATAGACCAATGGCTAAGAGAAATGCAGAATTTAGAATTAAATATCCATAGTGATGTTTATTAATAATTTGTTAATTGATTGAAAATATTTTTTCGGTATTATTATGACATTAAAGTGATAATACGTCAAATATAGGTAACAGTAGATGTATGCGTAAAACCTCGATGTATGTGAGTTAAAAGTTTCGACCTATAAACCTCTATTTAAAAAAAAAATTAGAAAAATATAAATAAAACTTTGATTTATATATGAACAAATATAAATTTCTTGAGAAATTTTTTCATCTCAAGATGAAAAATGAATAATCAATTTTTATAAAAAGTGTTTAAAGTTCTCATCGTAACTGCCTATGTGTAAGAAAAGAGGCCCACTAAGCTTACCGTTAAGTAATCCATCTCATTCTTTTTATTTCTCGTGTTACAATAATACAAGGATAGAGCAATGGATTTCGACAATCAATAGTCATTCTTCAAATTTGAAGTTTATTAATATAATTATTATATTATTATTATTATTACTATTATTATTATTATTATCATTATCATTATCATTATCATTATTATTATTATTATTATTATTATTATTAGTAGTAGTAGTAGTAGTGGTAGTAGTGGTAGTAGTAGTAGTAACTGATTAATAAGAATGCCGAAGTAATTATGATCGAAGGTGCTAAATGCAACCACAAATTGAATTATCCGCAGTGAATAAAACGATTTTTTTGGTTCCCTTGGAGTTCTTGTGGTCCATTTGAAAAGTGCAGTCGGCGCACTTGTCGGGTGGCTGGGAATGATGGCG